AGCACGTCCGTATTGCCAAGCAACACTTGGACGATGCGGCCCACGGGCAGTACAAGGGCGACTTTTTCCGCGACGGGACGGACGACAACCGACTGCGGGCACAGCTGCGACGCCTGGAAGGCGATTTCCAGGAGGCCATTGTCAGCTTGTCGACGATCAACGTCAATGTGGTCGACATGCCCAAGCGAAAGCCACTGGTCGGCGAGTACGTCGAAGTGCATAAAGGCGACGACGAATGGCAGGTGCAAAAGATTACCGAAGTCGGTTCCATGGGGAGTGTGAAGACTGCCACCACGCACCGCCACACATGGTTGGACCGCGGAACCGAGTGGCGCTTCATGACGGTCCTCGACACGACGGAGCTCAAGCAGCTCATGCTCGACAGCCGCGGCGACGAGCTCTCGCTCTTCCTCTCGTACACGACGTTTGCGAACGTGACCGAGCAGCACTACTTGAGCGCCTGGGAAGCCCCGATGCAAACGCTCTTTGAGGGCTACAAGGCGTTGCTCGCCGAGGTGACGCGCCGCGCGATCATCTCGACGCAAGCGCCAACAGGGGTCCAACAGCACCTCGAGCGCATCGCCAACCAAGTGCTGACCACGTGCGCGGACGCGACCAAACCAGCGCTCGACAAGATTATGCACAAGGAGAAGCGCCCGTACACGCAGAACGACGCTTTGTACCGCGACTATACGACGCTGCGCTACCAGCCGCTGATGCAAGGGCTCGAGGCACTCTCGGGTATGTGTCCCATTCGCACGCCAGAAAATGCACTTATAATGATGAATGGACTAGGTAACAATGACGGAGCAAACGTGTCGATGGGGGTGGTCATGGCCCTCCTCCAGACGCACGCCAGTGTTGGCTCGGTGAGCAACGAGGACGCCCAAGCCACCGACCTCCACCATGCGATTTCGGCGTACCTGCACGTGGCCAAGAAGCGCTTTACAGACCTGGTTCCAATGGATCTCAACAGCACTCTTGTCGAGCCATATGTGGCGCAACTGGCGCGCCGCTGGGAGACGATGGACGCGACGGATGAGATTCTAGAGCGCATCCTCTTTGAGAGCGACGCTGATGCACTGCGCCGCGACGAACTGGGCAACAAGCTCGAGGCGCTTCGCCGTGCCAAGGACGACATTGACATGCCATGAGTACGCTGAAGCGAACTCGTATCGCGTCGATGCCGCTATGAATTCAATGAATTGCCTTGCATCATTTTCCTTTTTACTGTTTTCCCTCTTTTACAAGAGCGTGCCACGTCATCGCTGGTAACTTCAACCTTAACGGACGATAAAATTAGATGGCCAGAATCGACGAAATGCGCGTGTCGGAGCCGCACAAGGAGCTCGCGGTCGCCAACGAAAAGTACGTCAAGAACTGCACCGAGCTTGTGCTGGCGCACCGCGAGATCGATGTGCTCGGCAATTTTGAACCGTTTGTGAGCCTTGAAGTGCTCTGGATCAACGACAACAATGTACATTCACGCTCAAGAATTTTCGACAAGATCTCAAATACGATATATGGTAGATTGAAAAGCTCACGGGTCTCGACACGTGCTTTCGCATCAAGTACTTGTTTGCGCAAAACAACCGCATCTCGTACGACACGTCCTATTTTGCGGGGGCGCTTGCGATTATCTGCTGATGATGTATAGGACGGTCGATGGGTCGCTTCTGCACTTCACGTTTTTACGCGAGCTTCGACTCTTCAACAACCGTCTCCAGGACCTGCACGCGACGCTCCGAACGCTCTCCAAGCTTTTGCACTTGCACGATTTGGGTCCATTTTGTGCGTGAAAAAGGCTCCAAAACTCACACATTTCATTAGATTTGTTTGGCAATCCGCTGGCCGAAGAGGAAAACTACCGTCTGCACGTGATTGCAGCAATCCCGTCGCTCGAGGTGTTTGATCGCCACGTCATCACCCCCGACGAGCGCATCGCCGCCAAGAAGTACAAATTTGGATACATATTTTTGCGAAGATTCATGAATTTGGATACTCACACACGATGGCTCGGTAGGCTGCACCTGCGGCGTCCCGGCCACGCAGCCAAAGCCAGCAACAACCACCAGTTGGCAAAAGAGCCACAGCCGCACGAATGGTCGGGCACGGTCAAGATGCTAATGAAGGAAGTGTCGGTGATCGAACGACGCCACAAGGCAAGTGTAGATTTCACAGATCACAACCTCATGGCTCTGGCTAGGCCCAAGAAGAGGCCGAACGAAAGAAGCAATTTCAAATGACCGACGCGTCGTTTACGAGTCAAACGAATGCGAGCAACCGCGCGATTGCCATTGCTCAGAACGCAACGGTCATGGACGAGTGGGATCTGTGCCATTTGCGCAAAGCCTTTCGGGCGGCCGACCCCCGCAAACGCGGGTGGAACACGATTTTTGACATCAATATGGTTCCAAATGACACATAGGGGTATTTTTGCAACCCTTTTCGGGCACATTATATCGGAAATGCTCGACCATGGGCAGCAGCTCGTCTTCAACGATTATGTTCTCGACGAAGAAAGCAGCTTTTCGGAACTACTTGCACACATTACGCGGCCCATGACCGCCGCCGAGATTGATCAAGAAGATGTCGACCCGCCCACCACGAGCCTTGTGACGTGGGCACTCTTCTCACAGGTAACACAAACTACTTGATAGTTGGTTTAGTTCTGAGGAAGACATAATTTAACCTCCGTGAGGTAGGGATTTACCCAAGGGTTCGTTGGACCAAACAAAGTGCCGCTGCGTTGGCAACCGCTACCGGCCACTGATGTGGCTGCGCGCGCCAACGAGTACTTTGAAAAAACGCGCGCCCTCCAAAAACGCATGCTGTCGATGGCCGAGCCCAAGCCGGTGACCGACATTGCGTCACACAAAAGTATCAATGTTCCGTAGGACTTGATCAAACAAATGCACGCGCTATCCCAAAAGGCGTACCACCTGCAAAGCCTTTGTGACCAGCGCAGCTCGGGACGCAGCTCGTTTGCACACATTGCTGCGGCCGAGGCCAAGTCCCCTGCCCGCGTAGACGCATTATTTATCGCTGCCAGTATTGATATGTACGTCTAGGACGCGATCACGGTGTTTAGCTATACCAAAGTATGTCCGTCCAAGGACGAAAAGGGCCAGAACGATCCGAGCCAGCTCCTCGCCAAGAAATACGCCATCAAAGACAAGGTACACAACCTTCAACTGCCACTGTATCAATCCATCAACCTATGTAGGATTTCCAATCGTACTTGAAAGCCAAAGACGCGCGGCGGCCGATCAAGGTCACAAAAGACGTGGTGACGTTGTAGGCGAAGTATATACATGCATTATGTATCAATCTTTCAAAATAATGGAATCAAAATACTACTGTTTTCTTCACTTGGTCGCCGTCACGTCGAGCGTCACGGCTTTTTGAAGGCAGGTGTAAAAGATGTTTGGGGGGCGACGGCGCAGAATCCCGTCGGTGACCTACAGACACTCGAGTGCTTGACGCGTGAGGGTCGACGTACGTCGAAGCGGGCTTCGCCGTGGTCGTTCTTGGTCCATAAATAAGGGATATCGCATGCAGTGCATGCGCGCGCGATGGCTTCTTCCAGCCGAGACGGCGCTTCAAAGCAGCCATCTCGGCTCAAGTAGGCGCCGATCCACGCCAGGGATTTGCCTACAATAGAAGCGATATATATTTTGTGTCGGCTGCATGAGACAGCACGACGCACCAGCCAGCGTCGCTGTCTTGAGCACGAGCGTGCAAATGTATAGCGTCGCAATGCACTCTTCACGAATGCCTCCATAGAGATCGGTAAATAGTGTCCAAAAGAAGATGGGTTCATACCAAGACGGCGAAGGCGGTGGGCGTCTGCCGATGCATTCAAGGCTGCGACGTGTTGTCGCATCGCGGGACTAAACGGCGCTTGGGCCTGCGGGTAAGTGGCCCAGTCCAGACGCGCTTCGCTGAGACGGTCCCTAGTCCAGTGTGGAGGCTACACGCTGTATCGAGTTGCAAAAATACCAGCTCGGAAGGATACAGCCGTGGTCAATGGGCACGAGTTTGTATGGTGCGGTTTTGCCGAGGAGCAAGAGATTGCCGCCGTGGCGGTCCGTGTTGAAGAGACGCACATCGAGGAGCCCAACGCGGTGGACTAGAGACACATGAGGCCATCGCATTGAAAAAACCGGTACCTTGATCCACAGAAGCCATTTGAACAGCTTTCTCGAGTGCATGGGGCATGCCAAAGTCTTCCATACTGCCGGCGCTTGGGGCCATAAACCGCTGGACTGCACCGAGCTTGAACCAACCAGAGTTGTTGGTGCCGCTGGGCTTCTTGAGTTTGCAGTTGGCCATGTGGAGCCGAGCGACGGCCGTGGGGGGAACGCCGCTAAAACCGCCCATCGCAGCGTCCAAGACATAGCTACAACAGTGGAGACTTCGAGTCGCGCACATATCATCTCAATGTACGTACGCGGCTTCTTCACGCACGGCGCCTTCGCCCGCGCAGAGGCCTTCGCGGACGAACACCTCTTCCTCAATGGGCTTGAACATGACGACCTTGGCACCGGATGTCGACGACGACAGCGCGTAGACGCCGCCTTCGCCGCCCACGACGGATTCGAATGCATGCGCGTTTGTGGACTGCAACTGGGCGACATCCCAGAGCATGTGCACTCGATGACCGCCTGCACAAATCGTCCGACATCTTTCGTCGCAAGGACTTGAGACGCACCTGCAGAATCCATGCGATCGTGGCGGAGGTGCGCAACGAACGAGTCGCGACCTTTCGCAGCCAGCTCGGGGACGTTGACAAAGACTTCGGGTGCGTCGTTCGTGTTGGGAAGCGACGCGACGAGCGCGTCGTCGTCGACGGCCACCGTGAGGCCGTGCACCGAGGCCGCAATGGCATCCAAGGATGCTCGGTGGTCCATCGTCCAGTGGCGCGGTAGCGGAATACGCAGCGACGTCAGTTGGCGTTGGTTTACAAAGACTGCGAGTTCTTCTTGCAGCGAGTCCCGTTCAAGGTGCAATACGACATCTTCCCGCTTGGGGTTTTGGTCCAAGTCGAGCGCTTGGGACTTGACAGGCTTTGGCGGCAGCCTCGACGCGTCGGGTCGTCGGAGATGAAAGACGCCGCGCAGGTAGGTTGATGTGACCATGTCGCCGTTCGTACAATGCTCGTGGCGTAGTCGAGTATGGCGCACCGTGTGGCGCCAACCGAAGCGCGACGCGATTGGTCCGAACAATGCGACATGGTGAAACTGAAGGATCTGATTGGATCAACCCGAGCTTCAAGATACGTGGCGGTTCGAGCTTTCAAGAAGTCGAAGGCCAACCCCGCCAACGCCAAGAGCACCGTTGATACATGGACACGAGCAAGTGATATATCCTCGGAGGCGTCCTTTCTGGATAACTGGTTATTAGTAAAATGGTATAAAGAGCGAACGCCGACGTGGGGGTACCGTTCGAGCAACAGAGGAAAATATTGTTCCACGAGATTTGAGATGAAGAACTTTTGTCAGAATAGAATCTCCTTGAAAAATTAGCGAGATCTTCAAGTTGTGGGTCTCAAGGCACTTCATGAATCGACGTGCGAGGAGTTTTGTGTGGTTCACTCACTGGGTGCAATGTTCGACTATTTTATAGTCCGACCTCCACGACCCGCGCATTCGGCATGAACATGACCATGTAATGCAATCTACTAGTATTCCTCATTCCACGAATACTCTGAAACCGATGCCCAAATCAGTGCTCTACTGCGTATGCACAAACGAAAGGCTTTACAAATGGCAGTAAATAAGTGCATGATATGACGTTTTTGGACTTCTTAATAGGCGAAGATCAATGCAGTCTAGGCGCATGTACAACAATGGTAACATCGTTTTAATTGGACGACACACTAGTAGTGTTTACGAAAACGTGCGCTCAAACACCGTGTACTTGTCCTGGCTGTTGACTTGGTTGTGGCGGTACAGCCACGTCGAGATCGACTCGTTCGTCGGTGACCGGCTCCATTCGATCACGCGGGCCGTGCGCGCGTGGTTTTTCTTGTTGTAGCCAGCCCCTAGCCCATGTTGAGTTCTGTCGTCGACTATGAAGTTGCGCGTGGGTACCGTAGCCGACGCCGCCGCCATAGCACATGTGCAAGTTGTCCTTCTTGAAGCAAAAATCGTTCAAGTGGTCGTGGCCGCAAAACGTCGCTTTGACATCGCCCACTAATACCGAGCGACACCATGAGCATCCTCGTCGCACCCTCCTCTGCCACACATACTCTCGACAATGGCTTCGTAAAGACTGTGGTTGGCATGGCCGCCGATGCCTTCGCGACGGTCGCCTTGTCCAATGCCGTTGAACTCCTTGTACTCGGGCATCGGAATGTGAAAAAACATGAGGGCCGGCACGTCCCGGCCCTTGTACTTGGCCGAGACGGACTTGAAGTAGTCGAGCTGCGCTGGCGCAATGTCACCGTCGCTGTGCGTATCTGCAAAGTACATGTGCATCACGTCGGTGGCATTTGGCGACTTGAGCGAGAGCTCGTAATTGCCGGCGCCGCCAATGTTGAACGGACCGTACTTGGCGTACGAGTGCGGAAGCGACTCAATGTACGCCATCATGATCTTGCGGTTCGAAAAGAGGTGCTACATGCCAACTTGGTCCATAATAAAGTGGTTGAATGAGCACGACGCACCGGTGTAATGCTCTCGTCGTGGTTGCCAAACACCATGGCCCACGGCAGCTTGCGGTCAATCACGTGCTTGGAGTACGTGTCGATCGCATCAATCGACGACAGCCATGTCTACAAAAAACGCTGTAAATCCGAAACCAACGCCAGGTCGACGCACCTGCGGATACCAAAGCGACTCGATTTGGTCGCCGGTAAAGACGACAAAGTCGGGCTTGACGTCGTCGAGCATCTTGTTCATCATCTCGGTCATGTGCGACTCAAAACAAAGCTTCTTCATATCGTCGGGCTTGTCCATGCAGGGGAAGAACCGGTTGGCCGTGTAGTGCATGTCAGGGACTTGGAGGATCTTGTACGAGAGCACGTCGCCGTTCTGGCGCGCCATGAGCGGCGGCCGCTGGATCTTGGCGGTCTCGACAAGGGCCTTTTGTACCTCGCTGTCGATAAACTGGTTGACGACCGGGAGCTCCAATTCCTTGAGCTTGTCGGCGACGATCTTGACGAGCCAGTTGATGTTGAGCTGCGCGTTGGCGCCCGTCAGGGCGAGCGAGAGCGTCGTTGCAAGGCAAGCGAGCTTCATCGTGCCAATTGAAAAGTGAGAGCATGCTTGTCGACACTGTACTTTAGGTTCGCGCACTACCATGTGTATCGGACGGAATACACGGAAGACGAGCTCGCTAATCTTGCACCGCTGCAAGAGTTGTGTTGGGTCAACCGTGACGATGGACGGCAGTGGATGACGCCCAGTATTACCGCAGTATCGCTGGCCTGATTCAAGCTCCCAGTCCCACCGCCGGGCCATCGTTCGCCCACTGTCGTGCGCGATCCTGAAAAACATCTGGACTTCCCCGTGTCTCTGAACCTGGCGCATCCAGACTGACTCGGGCCGACCTTTTTCTGCGGTCGCAGAGTCGGTCGCGGTGCCACGATGGGCCACGTACCATGGTACATGATACTACTGCACTCTCGCCATGCACTTGCTTGCATTGGGCTCTGGAATGACGCACCGCCTCTGCAGCGTCGAGACGTGACCTACGTGAGGAGGCAAATGCACTGCTCGTTTGTAGCGATTGGACGACTTGCAACGGGTCAAAGCACCCAAGGGGATGATCACTCGTGAAGACCACATCACGGCGAATGGCTTGCGTATACACGCCGTCGCAAGCAACTGTCCGATCGTGCGGGTCGAGAGCTCGAGTCCCACCAAGCCATGGAAATGTTTTTGTCATATCACTGCGATTCTGCACGAAACGTGTGACTTGAATCATCATAATGAACATAGCGTATTCGTTCTACTCTCCATCGGATGATGCGGCGTCCTGCCAGACGTTCCCTGCAGACATTTCAAACAGTACCATCCTTTCCATCGTACTACCGAGGTTAGCTACACCGCAACCAGCACTGCTGCTTTGGATTTGAATCTGAATGTAAAAAGTCGACGCACCTCAAACCGGTCTCGGTGGTACATGCTTAAAACAATCGTCGTTCATTGTATTTTTGAATCTTCAAGGCTCAATAGACAATGCACGTGCGCTGATGCGAGGACTATGATTTCAAAGCTGTTTTCCGCCCAACGACTACTAGTAGTCTACACAACTAGACTACATATGTGGATGCACAGAGTGCGAAGCGAAAGGGCAAGAAGATTCAAGCCATGGTTGCTTATTTTCTCCGAGATTCGATGCTCAAATCAGAGTTGCGAGGCATTGAAGCAGCCATGTATCAGATGCAGTCGGGTAAAACTAGCGCTTTCATTTTCATTTTCCAATTCTTCACCATGCGCCTTGCACGGCTTTTGTCCTCGTTGGCTATCGTCGCTGCCATCGACATCGATGCGCTCGCCGACGACGTCAACAGCCACCTCGAGGCCGGCGACGAGGACGGCATTGAGGGCGTGATCGACGACCATGTGCAAGCATCGCTTCTCGAGTCGGCCAAGATTACGCGCCCGTCGCTCAGCGTTCGCCAAGTCGGCAAAGACCTCGCGTACCGTGTGCTCCAAGTGCCCGACATGCACTACACCAACTACGACTACTATATTTGCAACGGCAAGCCCGACTCACACAAGGGCGTACGTTGCAAGATCGCTACTGCTCATGATTTATTCTGAAATATGACCAGGCATGCTATGAAAAGCACATGACAGAAATGATGAACAAGATGCTTGACAGAGTCAAGCCCGACTTTGTCGTTTTCACGGGCGACCAAATCGAATCGCTCATCTGGCCCATGGTGACGCAAATGTCCGATTTGCACCCACTGACTTCTTTTCTAGTCGTCGACCAACGCACTCAAAGCCATCGACTCGTACTCGGCGGCCGTGAATGAGCGCAAGATCCCGTGGGCCATGGTCTTTGGCAACCACGACGAGAGCTACACGCCGGTGGCATGTCTCTTCTACGGACCCTAGCCCTAAACGATACATACCCCTAATAGGCGCTGCTCTCGAACAAGAAGGTCATGATGGCCTACATCGAGTCGCTCCCGTACTCGTACGCCAAGTACGGGCCCAAAGACATTGGCGGCGTCGGCAACTACGAGGTCGCGATCCAGTCGCCGACGACCAACGCGACAGCGCTACGCATGTACTTTCTGGACACGGGCAAGGACGGGACAGTCTCGGAGGGTCAGAAGGCGCACATGAAGACCCTTGCGGCGTCGCACAAGAACGAATCCGCGCCGGCACTCATGTTTTTCCACATCCCAATCGAAGAGTACAAGGCGTTTAACGGCACCGGTCAGGGCGGCCGCGGCGACCCCGTGAGTGCGGCCAAGACCAACAGCCACCTCTTCGACACGATGGTCGAGATGGGTGACGTCAAGGCGTCGTTTTGCGGCCACGATCACTATAACGACTTTTGCTTCTACAAGAGCCCCCTGCACCTCTGCTATGGCGGCGCGACCGGCTATGGTTAGCTGCATGTACACCGGCTATGGGGCTCATGCTGCCATGATGTAGGTGCGGCGTACGGCAAGGGCAGCTACTCACGCCGCGCACGCGTCATCGACTGGAAGGTCTCGGGTGGTCAAGAGAGCATCTCGACGTGGCAGTATTTTCACGAAGCGACCAACTCGTACCAGCAGTACAGCCTCTTCCATCGCTCGGCGCCCAAGTGATGTTTTGCCCATCAAGCACACATCAGTCGTTTGTAACCCGTAAGGCACACGTCGTCTACACGTCTAGAACTTGATTATATTCTCTCGAAGTCTTCATGGTCGAACAGAGTACCATACTTGCATAGTATGCGCTGAGCACCTACGTGAAATGAATGGCTCCGATTTCAATACACTTATTTTCAGTCAAGAGGCGTCGGGTTGCTCGCCGGCGGTTGCTCGCCGCCACCAGAACAACCGCAGTGTACGACGGAGCTTTGACGTACGACCGCAATGCGAAGGCAATCTTGTCTTTCCAATGCATTTCCAATGTCAAAGCCAACAGCTCTCCGTGAAACAAGTCATCTCAAAAACGAATCGTTATGGCTCGCTTAAACGGTGGTCAGGTCTCGCTGGTGGACAAAGTACTTGTCGTCGGTGTGTTTGGTGTTGTGCTTGTAAAGCCACGTTGCGATCGACTCGTTCGTGGATGAGACGCTCCATTCGATCACGCGAGCTGTACGCGGGTGGTCGCCCTTGGCATATGCCGCTCCTAATCGCTTTCACAGTCGACAAGCATGGTCAAGCGCACAGCGTACCGTAGCCAACTCCGCCGCCGTAGCAGAGGTGCACCAAACCGCGAAGAAAGCAGTAGTCATTGAAATGATCGTGACCACAGAACGAGGCCTTGACGTCGCCCACTACACACTGCCACTTAGCATCGCGTGTGATGATAGTTGAATCCTACTCTGGACCATTGTGTCGAAGAGGCCTGTGCTCTTGACGCCGGAGCTGACGGCTTCGCCTTTCGTGCCTTGGCCGGTGCCGTTAAAGTCGTTGTACTCGGGCACAGGAATGTGGTAGAAGGCTAGCGCGGGCGCTTTCTCGGGCGCGTGGGACGCAGCAAACGACCGCAGAAGCGCTTTCTGGCCGTCCGAGACAGCGCCGTCCTTGCCCGTGTCGAGGAAATACAAGTCCAGTGACGCGGCACCGGCGGCGACGCGGAGCTCGTAGTTGCCGACACCGCCAATGCCGTACGGGCCATACTTGGCGTACGAGTACGGAAGCGACTCGATGTAGGCCATCATGACGCGCTTGTTGGCAAAGAGGTACTACGATTGAAGTATCGCAAAAGGACACACATGCTAGGAATTTGATACCGGATCGACGTTCTCATCGTGGTTGCCAAAAACCATCGCCCATGGAATCTTGCGCTTCTCAACTTCGGCGGCGTACGTGTTGACGGCCGCGAGCGACCCGAGCCACGTCTGCGCCACGAGTGACACCGGAAACTAAAAACACCCAACTAACCCGTACCTGCGGAAAGTGGAGCGCTTCCAGTTGGTCGCCCGTGAAGACGACAAAGTCGGGCTTGACATCGTCAAGCATTTTTGCAACCATAGTCGTCATGTAGGCCTCGACGCAGAGCTAGTCCATTCACTTTTAAGCCAGCGACATGTAGGAGTCCCCACCCCTTGCATCGCATCAGGCTTGTGGTCGCACGGGTAGAGCGCCAAATTGGTATAGTGCAGATCGGGAATTTGCAGAATGCGGAATCGCATCGCGCCGCCGCTATGCTGCTTGGCCTGCAGCGCCGGTCGCCCGGGATCTTGGCGGTCTCAGCCAGCGCGTCCTTGACGGCGGCGTCGATGATGGCATCGAGCGCTCCGTGCTCGGCCTTGCGCAAGAGAGCTAGGACCTTGTCTTGGAGGGCCTTGAAGTCGAACGTAGCGTTGGTGGCCACCACCAGTGCCAGCAGCACGATCAAGAAGCAGCGCATGATCGGAAACAGAAAATGGGCTGCGATCTGGACAGAGATTCCGCGGTATGAATCTAGCTCGGGATGCACAGTGGTACGGGTCTACGTATGCAAGCGCTGTATTCGTTTGAGCTTACGACAAACGCTTTTCCTCAACAAGTAGCTCCTCGAGGCGCACCCAAGCAGCCTGATCGGGAGCCATCAGAAGCACACGATCGCAGGAAGCAACGATTTAAACACGCTACTGTTCATTCCATGCCAGGCAACCAAGCGACAATGCTGGTCCCAGCATGGAATAACTTTTAAGATCTCAACACCATCATCAAGATTCGTGGTTTGCGCGAACCCGTAGTTCGGCGACATGCTTAAGACGTTTTGACTAACAGCGCTAAGATCGAGCGGCTCTCGATGACGCCCAAGCAGCGCAGCGACGGCATCTTGAATTTAAAATTCTTCAAGTCCCTAGCATGCTCAGTCAACTCGACCAGATGTGAGCATAGGGACAGACGCAATGCTGACGGTGGGATGTCTACAGCCGAGGACCATACGAGTCCCACCTATCCGGTCTTGAAACACATGGTCGTGGCGCCAAATGGCCTGGCTTTGCACTGACCCAAGACGCTACCGCAGCCATTCTGATATGTAAGATTCGGGTCCCGTCCACGCTTCAATCTAATACATGTAGGTTGTATTTGGCACATATATCTAGCGTTGCTGAGAAGGTGATGGTGCGGAGGGGCACGAATCCTAATGGATCGATACAAGTATCTGGGATCTGATGCGTGGGTGAGAGACAAGTATGTGCCGTGGCTTCTTCAGCACCATTTCCGCATCTGAGCCGCGCATTCTCTTATCAGACGTCGGATGCTGTGCTTCCACGCATGTCTCTAACATGTGTCTCCTGCCCCAACCACTTCTAGGACAACTGTGATTGTGCATTAACTATGCTATAGGTTGCTACTTGCGCTTCTTGTTCTTGTTTTTGCCAGGAGAAAACTTGGTGTTGACCTGCATGTGGCTCGAGAGGCTCTTGGCGGCTTTGCGTTGAAGCTCACTGGTCGAGACGGGCACGAGGCCGTCGTCCTCGTCGCTGTTGTTCTCTAATTCGGAATTGCCCTCAATCAAGTGTGGCGGCGCCTGGTTGAGATTGAAATTGAGATGCAAGCCGTTGGCCCGGTTCGGATCGCTCGGCTGCAAGTGCGCCCCGAGCGACGTCGTGGCGAGGTTTTGGGGGTTCTTATGCTGTAAGCGGCGAGTAAATTGCTCGAGCAAGTCGTTACTTCGTTGCTCAATGATCTAATTGCACGCAACTTGAACACAAATAAGGCTATGTCCTTGTACCGCAAGAAACTGGAGAATGTTGCCCTCGGTGATCCCGTGGGCCGCCAACAAGTCGTTCATCGAGCTCATGCGAATCTAGTCGATTGCAAGGAATTGAACGCCGGAGATATCATCCTGCACCGTACCGCCATGGCATTCTGGTCGTCATTTTTGCCTGAGACCGCGTTGACAGAGTTGGCGGATGGCTACGAAAATGACGTTTGTAAATCCACAAACGGGGATGAATCATGCACTACCGGCGCCATCTCGTTACAGCCGAGCGAGTTGTAGAGCTTGTCGACGGCGCGCGCAATCGGACCGAACTCGCGCTGGGCGTTTTGGCGGAGGCGCTCGTAGTCGACGTTCTCCTTGAGAATTCTGCACAATCTTGAGTACACACCAAATAGAATAATTCACCCACTTTTGGCGGGTTTCTTCCAAGCTGTCGATGAGTCGCTTGCGCATGTTGGCACTGCCTTCCTTGAGCTCGTCCGCATAGCTAGATTGTTGACATCGTAGTGTCTCTATCCACTGAAATGGACAACGTACCGCTGCTGCTCGCGCTGCAAAGCTGCTGTTTGCTCTTCGAGTTGTTCGCTTTCATTGTTGATATTCTAGTACAAAATCCTGCAATGCACATTTCTTTTCCACTGGAAGTACCTGCACGTAGCGGAAAAGCGCGAAATTTTCCTCTTCTTTTTTGGTGTAAATGTCGACCAACTTGTGATAGTCGTCACATCCCGTGTGTTTCTACACATCAAGTGTCAAGACTCGCACATGGATATAGACAATGGAACGTACCATCATCTGCTTGAAGGTCGACTCGTGCAGCTTGAGGCGTTCGCTCACGACTTCAATCGCAGTCTTGTCCTCCCGAAGCTAGCACATAAATTATAGTACAATAGTGCAGACAGATGTAAGACGTACCGCCACGTCCAGCTTGTGCAGTGTGAGCTTCATCTCAGCTTCTTCGTCGATGCGGTAGCTGCCGCGCACGTAGCTCTCATCGTGCGCCTCAAGCGTCTCGGACTTGAGGGCCTCCTTCCGAAACGAATCTGACCACATCACTTTTCAGTCAAAAACACAAATCCGATAAAACCCAGACCCGCAGACTCTTTCTCACGGGCGATGATCATGGCTAGATTTTGGTAAATGTCGTCAAAGGCTTCTTGCTCTTCCATGTTGACGCTTGCGAGCGAGTGCGCTTGGGCAATGACCTAGGGACATTGATACGTGTGGCAGATATGGGTCCACTGGACCTTGTCCCGCTCGCCCATGATGATTGTCGAGGCCTTGAACGTCTCTTGCATTTGGCGCTGAATGTCGCGAAGCCGTTTTTGGTTCTATACGAGTTACGCTGTCGAATTCGGTGCCGGAAAAAGGGATCAAACCTTTTCAAACACGGTTTGACTGAAAAGCCGATTCGCGCGGAGAGCATCAATTTTCTTCTTGAGATCCGTGTTGGTCGCTACGAGCTTGCTCTCACTGGCTCCAATAAGAACCGATATGTGCAAAATGCGAGCTGTGTGGCGACCTACCGCGTTCGACAGGCCGCGAGCCGGTTCTCGAGCTTTCCAACTTCTCGGTTTTCGCACATGATCATGGACTTGACAGCGTTGATGCCGCCACCGCGCTGGTCGCCTTCGTTCCTGCAGTTTCTTGAGCTGAAAAGTGTTACGATGCAGTACAGTACATACCGCTTGAGGCGGAGCTGCGCGACCTTTTGCTGCACCGTCTTGTACTCGTCCTCGAGCGACTTGATGCGAACGTTCACGGTGCTAATGAGGCGCGCGTACTTGTCCATCTGAACCTGGAGGTTGAAGATGTAGTCATTCTGCGCCCGCAGCGCTAGCTGGCTCATCGCGCCCGAGGTTTTTGTTTTAGCAATGAAACCGATGGCGTTTCCTATGATTATATTCTGTTTGCAAGACACTGTATCGACTGGTGGGGCGAATTTGGGCGCGTCGTTTTTTCGTGCCAACGATATGGACGCTGAAGACTATAATGGCAGGAACTTTGCAAAGGATTCAATCATCCCACGACGTACAACACGTTACTGTTATTGTATGAAAGTGGATAGTTCTACGGCACTCTGTATGGTCGCTTGAAGCATCGCGCCTGTCGATCAGAAATCCAACTATCCAGTGCGGCCGTCGCATCCGCCTCTCTGGGTATCGGGTGCGACCTCACCTTTGACGGAAGCGGCGCTCTTCGGCTTCTAATATGCCCGTCCAAAGGAGCTGATCTTCTTCAAGCAGTAGCCATTTGCCCAAGCAGACCTCAACTGTTGCACCATACTACCCTCTTGGCACTCAGACGTTTATGGGACTCAGATTCCTCATGGGCTCGTTCACGGGCTTGCTTCCAGCCTGTTTACGGAGCCCCGTGCCTTTGCAGTTGGTCTCCAGTCTTCCATTTGCCTCGAGATGCGGAGCGTTCTCTCGACTGCTGCTGCGCTGGCGCTGGCGGCCCACGTAGCCACGGGTCTTACAATCCAAGAGTTCACTGCCTTCATTGAGAAGCTCTTCAAGGCCGGCGAGATCAAGGCTGTCAACGAGCACATTGACAAGTACGTCAAAGACTCGCTCGCGCAAAGCGCCACGATCCAGCGCCCGCCGCTCCTCGTGCACGAAAACGGGTCGAGCGCCAGCTACCGCGTGCTGCAGATCCCGGATTTGCACTACACCAACTTTGCCTTGTATCTCTGCGACCACAAGCCCGACTCGATGAAAAAGGTACTAGATCATTCGTGTTTTCTACTGTGTGATCTTATTTTTGCGGCTAGATTTGTGTCGAAAAGTACATGACGCAAATGACCGCCAAGATGCTCGACGACGTCAAGCCAGACTATGTCGTCTTCTCTGGCGACCAGATCGAGTCGTTGATTTGGCCCATGGTATATGGCCCGTCTCTAACTCGAACTGTGTCGACCTGTTGCGTGCGTCTAGTCGTGGAAGAACTCGCTCGCGGCCATCGATACGTACTCGGCCGAGGTCAACAAGCGCAAGATCCCGTGGTCCATGGTCTTTGGCAACCACGACGACAGTTTGGCGCCGGTAGCTCTCATGCGTCCTTTTGCGATAGTCTCATCTCAACATCGCGTGTAGCAACTCTTTGCCAACAAGAAGATCATGATGGCGTACATTGAGACCGTCAAGAACTCGTACGCCAAGTACGGTCCGTTTAACATTGGTGGTGCCGGCAACTACGAAGTCGCAGTCCAGTCGCCGACGACCAACGCGACAGCTCTACGCATGTACTTTATGGACACTGGCCGCGACGGCACCGTCACCGAGGCGCAGAAGGCGCACATGAAGACCCTTGCGGCGTCGCACAAGAACGAATCCGCGCCGGCACTCATGTTCTTCCACTTCCCAATCGAAGAGTACAAGGCGTTCAACGGCACGGGTCAGGGCGGCCGCGGCGACCCCGTGAGCGCGGCCAAGACCAACAGCCACCTCTTCGACACGATGGTCGAGATGGGTGACGTCAAGGCGTCGTTTTGCGGCCACGACCACTTTAACGACTTTTGCTTCTACAAGAGCCCCCTCCACCTCTGCTATGGCGGCTCTGCAGGCTATGGTTAGCTGCATGTACACCGGCTATGGGGCTCATGCTGCCATGATGTAGGTGCGGCGTACGGCAAGGGCAGCTACTCACGCCGCGCACGCGTTATTGACTGGAAGGTCTCGGGTGGTGTTGAAACCATCTCGACGTGGCAGTACTTTCATCAAGCGGCCAACACGTACCAGCAGTACAAGCTGTTTGAACGCAACTCTTCAGCTACTAACTAATTGTCGCTTGTGCAATAACAGTAAATACATACATATAGCGTTGTGCATTGGCGAGGAGCACTATCGAACATACAAATAAAGCGTCTCTTGTCTCGCTCAAATTTGCCCACCGACGACTTTGCACGAAAGTGCGTCAAAGTTGTGTGTTTTTAGCACTTGCAAAAATGGGGCACCTGAAGAGCAAGATTCGGTACAGCTAGGATCGGAAATGAATCTTCCACGGTTTCTGCATGGCAGTTGTCTCCAAAACTCAGATGTATTAAAAGTGTAGTACAAGCTGAATCTTTGTGCGTATACGCACACAAGCGTGTAGCATTGAAGGCGTAAGCTGTCCTGAGTTCAATATTACGTCATCTCATTGCGACCCTTCCTGCGCGTTCAAATAGCAGCGCCAGGCGGGTTCGACGTAACGCATCTAGCCATTATTTTGAAAATGCGATGCCACACTGTAGATTCGTCTCCGCCCCCAGATTCGATCCAGTGCCCTCTCGGAGCCTCGTCACACGCACCGCTTGCAACCTGAAGACGTCTTTATGATCCAGCTGGTGCCTTCAAGCAGCTGGTGTCCGAATCAGATCAAGGTCCAGGACCTGTATTCCACCAGGCGCGCGTATCGTGCCACGTATGGCGTCGGAAACCCCAACACCAGTTTGCGTAGCCAGTTTGGTTGGCAAATCCTGTATGACGCATAAATATGTGGCTGTGGTTCAAACGTTCCACTCTAGCCCCAACATGCGCATCTCGAGGAAAAAGCGCGGCACCTTCCCGCAGTTCCGATCGTGCGATGCGACGTTGGCCGCCACCCAAACCAGGCATGACGACAGTATCCCAATGCCCCTAAATTGAAAGCAAGCCACGTAAAAACTAAAAGTTTTCCATCCACTGGTTATGACAAGGGTGGACATCGACAGAGAGCACCCCGTGCAAGAATTCCTCACAACCGACGCACGTACCCAGAGGAGCTTCCAACGGACTTGATTTTACCACCTGCAACTACACTTCTTTGATCGTATTCCTTCGTGACGTGATGCGTATACGCGATGGGAGCGAATCTGGCTGCGTCTGAGGCGAAGGCTACTCACTTTAGCATCCACGCATTTTTTGGGTGGCATCGCTTTGCCTGTCTACGCCGGCTGATTTCTGTCTCGGCGCACCGACGGTAGAAACGAGTTCAAATTTGCCTTGCACCACACCATCAGCATCATGCGCGTCGTCGGTCTCCTTCTGCTTTCGCTCGCGGTCTCGGACGCATTTTGGATGAACACGCTCGCCAACCAAGTCGCGGCGCTCATCAAGAAGCTCGAGCTCCCTGCTGTGAACAAGATCATTGACGACGCGGTCAAGGAGCAGCTGGCGGCCAACGCACTCATCAAGCGCCCGCCGCTCGTGGCGCGCAAGACCGCCAATGGCGCCCAGACGTACCGCATTCTCCAAGTGCCGGATTTGCACTACACCAATTGGGACTACTTTCCGTGCATGAACAAGCCCGACGACATGAAGCAGGTACAACGCTTTTCCCTATTTCTTGCTTTTTCAATCGCGATGTCTAGCTCTGCTTTGAAAATACATGACGGAAATGCTCACCAAGATGGTCGACGACACCAAACCCGACTTTGTCGCGTTCACCGGCGATCAAATCGAGTCGCTCTGGGTGCAAAAGGTAGCAAACGACATCGAAAGAAGCATACCATGCGCGCTGTCTTGTAGACGTGGAAGCAGTCGCTGGCGGCGATTGACACAGCAACCGCGGTCGTCAACGCGCGCGGCTTGCCGTGGGCCATGGTCTTTGGCAACCACGACGAAAGCTTGATTCCGGTACAACCCTAGCCCTTTTCACGCATGTCTCATATTCGCCTAGCATCTCTTTTCGAACCGCAAGGTGATGATGGCGTACATCGAGTCGCTTCCGCACTCGTACTCCAAGTACGGTCCATTCGACATTGGCGGCGCCGGCAACTACGAAGTCTCGATCCAAGACGCCAGCGCCGCTGCCGCGATGCGCCTCTACTTTGTCGACACGAACCGCGACGGGTCCGTGACGCCGGCGCAGATCAAGCACGTCAAGGACCTCGGTGCGAGCCACAAGCGCGACAACGTGCCGGCGTTGAGCTTCTTCCACATCCCGCTGCCCGAGTACAAAGACTTCAAGCCCACGAACGAGACGCAGGCACCAAGCGCGAAGACGTGGCATCCAACGACCGCAACGACGGTCTCTATGACGCGTTTGTGGCGAGTATGGTTCTTCTACCGGCTACAACAGTGGTCTAAGCACTACTCTTTAGATGGCGACGTCAAGGCGACGTTCTGCGGCCACAACCACATGAACGACTTTTGCTTCAAGCGCGGTTCGATCCATTTGTGCTATGGCGGCGGCGTCGGCTACGGTATCCTCTCGACACAGTTAGATGGACAGTATTGACCCACGATTTGATGCAGGTGCGGCGTACAACAAGGGCAACCACCCGCGTACGGGCCGCGTCATCGAGTGGAACCGCAACGCGACGGACGAGTCGATCGAGACGTGGCTGTATCTCCACAACAAGGACAACACGCGCGCGAGCAAGTACTCGGTCTACCACCGCACGCTCCAGCAGTAACTTTGTTTAACGTCTTAACGTCGTGCGTTTTTCCATGCGAATATCGCGTCACCGACGTTTTTTGAAAAGCATATCAATTGTGTACAGGGCTGAATGCAGCTACAATTTCAGTACGAGCGCTTCAAACGCTGTCCACTCGATCGCACCGCACTGGTTCTTGTCCAAGTAGACAAATATCTATAGCCCAGCATATACCGTCAACACATGAGAGACACACCCACGTACTTGATGGATGTCCTTGTCTGGAACCGTGACGCTGATCTCATGCAGCGCCAAAAGCAGCTCCTTGAGTGCAATCGCGCCATGCACGTCCAGCCCGATTTTGACCAGCGCTCGCCGCTTGTCTAGCATTCAAATCGTATGATTACGACGCTGTGTACCGAGGCTGTACCAGGGGCTTGGGCCCACTGCTGCAGCTTGAACACCGCCGAGCGTGCGTGAATGTTCATGCCGTTGCCCAGAATCGTCTCGGCGCCGGGGTAGCTGGCTTCGGCGTGGCGAACCTACCGCGTTCATTCAGGAACAACCTACTCCACTTGGAGAGTCGTACGCGCGTGTCATAGAGGTCATTGGAAAAGCCCGTCGACTTGCCAAACGGGTTGCGTCCTGGCTCGGCGGCTGTCAGCGGAAACCCTAGCCCCTACACCCGAGAGGTCCATGAAATCCCTGACATTCCTTCATGCACCTCGCCCGACGTGATGGCGTGCGTGTACTTGGTCACGGTTGCGCAGTGCGGTGTCTCCTTGTGTACCTGGAGCTTTGCTGCGTCCATGGCGGCAACCTCCCCCCGCGTCTTGCCCACGATCGACGGGTCGTAGTCTACGAGCACTCAACAACCAATAAAACGCGTCATGCTGTACCTTTGAACCCGCCTTTGCCGCGCGGTGCAACGCGCGTGATGCCATGCACGAGGTAGTCGTTGTCGGCGGCCTTGAAGGCTGCGTGCGCCGTCGACTCCTTCACGCTCATGTCCTCGGGCTCGCCGTCCATCGCAATCTTGAGCGCTTTCGCTTGGGCGTGGAGCTCTTCGAGGCGCCGGCGCTCGCGTGGCCCGACGCTGCTAGGAATGACAAAGTCCTCGCAGTACGGTGTCGTGCGGGACGAAGCTCGGTAGTCTTTGGCCTCGGTCGCACTCGAGTGGGCGATGACGCGGGGGTGCGAGAGGCCCATGGCCTCCTTCGCGTCCCACGTCTTGTAGCGCGAATAGCCCGTTCGGTCGCGCAGCGCCTCTTCCTCGACCCAGTTGCCCATGAGGGCGCCCTGGTTGTCGACCTTGTTGTAGCTGTTGGCCATGCTTCCAATGCAACTCTGGCCCGTATTTTTAGCTCGGTTAAAAGGTGGCAACCACGCTTTAATTGTGGTATTTGTGGCTTTATCGACTTTGCACATTTCGTCGAGCCTTCTGCATAGCGTGCTCCATGATCGATGATGGCCTCCCGCAAGCTGCATATCGAGAGGAGCACCGGTATCCTTGCCGCTGCTCGTGCTTTCTCGTCGCGTTTAACTCGTCCTACCGAGGTTTTATACGTTTAACGTCATCGTCCGGGATATCACCGGAAAATACTTGCATGCGATTGGCCGAGGAAAGGGCACTTGAATCCTCGTCGTGGCGCGCGATGGCCAAGCCCGTCCGGCTGCGGCTTCTCGACCCGACGACAGCGTGGGCCGCGGGTGGCGCCGAGATCACGGTGCACGGCACGGGCTTCTCGCTCCAGCCGCAGTCGATGCTTGTGCGGCTGTCGCTCCCGCTCACCAGCACGGAGGTCTGCGTCGACGTCCGGTCGGGCAACGAAGGCACGGCGAGCTTCATCGTGCCGAGCCTCACGAGCTACCTCAAGAGCCGCATCTCGTCCTGCACCGTACGTTAATAGCACTTCTACTAGCCGCAATTGTACATGGTCGTAGGTGACACTCGAGATCAAGGCCACGGGCGTCGTAGCCGCCAACCCGCAGGAGATGCTGCTGCACCCTGAGCTCTCGATCAAAAAGATCTCACCGACGCACCTGCCGTTCTCTGCGACGTCGTATGCAAGCATTATGCTCTTCTTGGAGCTGCGCTATAGCCACAGCTTTGTGCAAATCAAGCCCAACGTCGACGGCAAGGTCCATCTGACGGCCGCGTCGCCCGTGTACGTGCGCATTAGCTACGTCTCCGAGCACTCGAAGATCCCGCTTTCGGTCGTCCGACCTGCCATGTGGAGTCCAGCGTCCCAGGTCAATGGCGACATGCTCATCGAATTTCAGCCGCCCAAAACCAGTATCGGTAAGGTCTCAGATGTGATCATCGCATATCTGATATCAAGTCCCACAGGCGTCATGACGGCCGAGGTGTCGCTGAACAAAGTCGAGTTCTTTGGTGCACTCTGCTACAACGTCTGGCGCGACTTTGACTTGGCTTCGGTCAAGCCCCGCGCTGTGCTCATTTCACCGTACGTCGTCCATCATTCGTTTGCACAGTGCGCGATACATGCTGCTATAGATCGCACCCCGTCGACGTCGTTTTGCAAGGACAGCATTTCCTAGAGACGGGCGAGGTCGTCGTTCGACTCTCGCAGCCGCCCGTACGAGCGATTGCACCGATTTGGGATTGTGAAAACGACGAAACAAATGTTAGGACGACGGCGTTCCCCAAGGCATGATTTTGAATGCCGTCTGCAAGTCGGCGACTGAGATCTCGGTCTCGCTGCCACCCAAAACACACTGCGGCGTGACGCGATGGACCGTCTCGTGCAACCGCGGCGAGCACTTTTGCCTCTCGACGGTCGAGTGCTTGCTCTTCCGAGAGCGCGTACCGCACACACTTGTGCCTACTGGCGGCGCACTCACCGGCGGCACCAAGCTTCGTACGACGTCAGCACCGATATCTTCCACGCATCTCAGTGCGCCTTGTGTAGGCCTGTTGCTTCCAAGCCTCGACAACGACGATCTGGACTCGTTCCAACTGCTCCTTACGGAGCTGCAGCAAACCAAGGTACAGGACACTTTGTACGTGAGTGGATCAACAACGGTTGCAGGTGCTGCGCATCCGGTTCGCCCCCGTCGACGATAGCGTGCCGGCCAAGACGGTGTGGGCAACGCCCTCGGCCATTGACCCGCTTTGCATCGAGTGCACAACACCCGCTTTCGACGTCAAGCATGTGCCCAACGACGAGACCTTCCCCGTCCAAGTCGCGCTGTCGGTCGACGGCCGGTATTTCAGCGGCAATCTCACCTTCCACTACTTTGCCCCGTACGTTATCAAGGCGCTCTCGCTCCATCACGGCCCCAATACGGGCGGGACGCGCCTCTGCATCACGATGAGCCGCCACGTGCCGGTGTTGCTACCCATCCTCGTCAAGTTTACAAGTGTCCGCGCCAACATCCGAGCCACTGTCGTTGGCAGCGTTGTGCCGCAGGACGATGACGCAACGGTGTTGCAGTGCCACACGCCCATATGGCCGATCGACAAGGAGCTCCAGCTCACCAAGGTGCAAGTGTCCCTCAACGACGGTGTCGATTACATTCCAAAAGACACCGATACGTCCGTGGTGGCGCAATTTCAGGTTTTGTCATGTTCGTTTTCTCGCCATGTCTAAACGCTTTGTAGACGACCTTGGACGTGGACGAGACGTACCTGCTCTATCTCTTCTACCCACCACCGACGATCCACTACATTTGGCCAACGTCTACGTCCGTCATGGGCGGGGGGCTCCTCCGACTCAAAGGTGAGAACATAACCGACCACGGTGGCACGGTCTCGGTCGTCTTTCGCACCGGGCAGGGCCATCGGCGCGTGCGGGCGTTCGTCGAGATGGACCCGTCGCGCCACTCGGACGCGGGTGGGCGGCGAGCAACGTCTGTTCTGTATTGCGCCGCCGTCGGTGGCGGGTCTCGTCGACGTCTACGTCTCCCTCAACGGCCAGCAATACTCCAAGTGCTGCTTCCGGAACATCCCGAATCGAAGCCAGTTCCTCTACTACGAGCTGCCGTCCATCACGTGCGTGACGCCGATCTCGTCACCGTCGCAGGTGTCGTCGACCGTCACCATCATCGGCGAGTCAATTATCGACACGGGCACGATTCAAGTTCGGTTCTCCTACTTGAAGCAAACGTCCATCATTGGTGCGCTTTGAGGTTTCTCATGTTAAAAATGATTTTTCATCTTTTTTGTAGGAGAGCCGCACACCGTACGGCAGTACGCGGCCGGCCGCCTCAACGCCCAAGGCCACATTGAGTGTGCGTCGCCCATTTTGAGGACGATCGCACCCAACTTGATGAGCACCGTCGAGATCTCGCTCAACAGCTGCGACTTTACCGGACCAAAGCACCCGTTTTCCTTCTACCGACGTCACACGATAAAGCTCGTCGAGCCAATTGGGATGGCGCTCGACCTCGCGACGCTCCTCAAGCTTCACCTTACGCCCAAAATCATCACGGACGGCATCAAAGTGCGGCTCAAGGTAATCCTACTGGTATCAACTTGAGTTGATAATTGGATCATCTAGGTGAGCTACGTCGGACATCGAGGGGGAGCGCTCGAGAAGCACATGCTTGGTCCGATGGTGGCGACGGCCTGGTCTGGCAACGTTTCAACTATAAATGTACAATATTTCACGTAGGACGACTGAGCACGTCGAGTTTCTCTGCCCTGCGCTCTCGGCGCTCGTCCAGTCGCCGCAACAGTTGCGGCAAGTCGACGTTGAAGTCGCGCTCAACAACCAGCACTTTTTAGACGTATACAGATGACTCACGTGCTACAACCCACTGAGGCAAACTTGTGAATATTAGGTGGGGAATTTACTCAACTTCACAGTCCCGTACAGCGTGCCCAAGGTCGATCGTATCTGGCCAGTCGCAGCGCCTTTCGAGAGTCCGACCGAGCTGCATCTCTTTGGCTCGGGGTTTGCCAGCGAGTACCCGACGCACCTCCGGCTCAGCATTCCAGGCATGACACCCGGGTCGACAGTCTCACGTGTTCTCGACACGACGTTTGTGTCGCCCGAGCAGGTCTCGGTGCTGTGCCCACCCGTCGCGGCGTTTACGCCCGACCACCAAGTGCAGCTCAACTGGCTATCGTGCAATGTCCTGCCAACGTCGCCGGACGTCATGTCGGAGCTGCCTGAGTCGCCCAAGTCGCGGACGCGCTTCACACACCGCAGCGAGTCCCGCAAGCTGCGCCGCCACCCCGACAACCAATCACGGCGGCGCGTGGCCATCGGGGGCATGAAGGTGCTGCCGATATCGATCGAGATGGCGACGCGCTTCGACCAGTTTTCTCCTGTTGCGCTCCCCGTGGCCTTTTATACAGCACCGAGCATCACGCACGTGGCCCCCCGCGGGGGGTTCACGACGGGGGGCGCCGTCGTCGAATTGCACGTCGACGCGGCGCAGCTGCAGTACTTGCACGTGGTCGACATCATGCCCATGATGTTTGGCGACACAAAGGTCACGGGCCACCGCGTCGACAACACCGTTTCTGTCGTGGCGCCGGCGCTGCCCGCGGGCCAGCACCTCTTGACGATCGCGTTCAACCAGCAGTGCTACGAGATGGTCCGCGTCGGCATGTTTCCCGTGTACTTTGAGGCGTTTGAGCCCCCGGTCGTGCACTGCCTGGCCGCCAACAACTGCATCATGAGCTTTGGGCCAATGGACGGCGGCACTCCGGTCAGCATCCGAGGTACATCACGCGTCATCAATAGAGGCGTCCAAGCCCCCGTTGTGGCTAGGGCAAGGGTTTATTGAGTCGGCGAGCCCGTTGGTCAAATTTGTATTTTACAACGCGCCCTTTGCAACCCCGCGTGGCCCGAAGAGCGACGAATATATTGTCGAAGCGACTATTGTCGATGGCGGTTTGATCAAGTGCATTGCGCCGCCCGTGACACACGCCGGCATCGCCAACGTTCAAATTTCGTGCAATGGCCAGCAATTTTCCGAAGACTCGCAGCTTCATTTCGAGTACCATGCTGCCACCAAGCTCATGCTCGAGCCAGGCAGCGCCAAGTGCGGCGCCCTCGACGGCGGTACACCCATCATCTTTCACGTGCTCCAGGGGCTCCCCGAAGACCGGTCGAGCTTGGACTGTATGGTGCAGCTCGTGGACATCAATGGCCACGTCGTCACCGTGCCTGCTTCGTTCGTCGATGACAGTGCGGTCTTGCACCCTCGGATTCAATTGCTCTCACCGCCGTGGCCGTACCCAACCAAAGTCCAACTCCGTCTCTCGCTCAACCGCCAAGTTTTCTTCTTCGATACGGAGCTCTCGTTCCTGTATTTCGACGCCCCGGATGTCATCCAGGCCATCTCCCCCGTGGCCGGGCCAACGCACGGCAAGACACGCGTGCTTGTGGCCTGCAATTCGCTGCTTGAGACAGGCGACATCGTCTTTAAGCTGCTGCTCAAGCCTGGCACGTGCGCGGATGAGACCGAGACGCTCGAGCTCGTCGTGCCCGGGCGCGTCAGCAAGGAAGACGAAGCGCTTGAGTTTGAGACGCCACCCGTGCCGTTTGGCTGCCACGTGTTCTTGCAAATGTCGCTAAACGGCGTCGACTTTTGCACCGCGAACCGCGACGTATACTTTGCCTTCTATATGCCACCGACGCTCACGTCGTTTCACCCGACATGGGCACCGATCGACTGCGAGACGGTCCTGCGGTTGTATGGCCAGCACCTCCGAGTCGGCAATTCTTCTCGAAAGTTCAATCGTTCACTCTTCAATGTAGGACTATGGTGCACCGATCGAAGTGCAGTTGACGCCGTGGCGCGGTGCCACGAGCTATGTCGTGCCAGGACGCATCACCAATGACGAGAATGGCGTCCCATGCGTGGTGTGCAGCACGCCGACCGAGATCGAGTCTGGTTTTGTCAAGCTCGAACTGAGCTTAAACGGACAACAATTCACCGTCTCTGAATATCCGGATCCACGGTATCGTGATCGAGATCGATTGACCAGCATTTCATTGCTCTCTTAGCGTGGTGAGCGCGCTGGCCGTCCACAAGACCAAACCGCTCTACCCGTTTCGGTTTTTTGCGCAGCCCTACTTTCTCACAACGTCATATGGCTCGGCCGGCGGCGGGTCCCGTGTAGTCTTCTGCGGCGGCCCACGGTTGGCCAAGGCGCTCGCCAAGTGCGACGCCAAGTGCTATGTTCAGTTCACACCTGTCAAGCTATGGAGCCTCACGGGCACCGCGTCGACGTCGGCCAAGCTCCCTGACTCGATGACGGTGGCGGCCGAGGTATTTGAGTTTCTTGCGTGCAGATACATGATGTTCTATAGGTCGATGCGACCACCACGACCGTGACGTGTCGAGCTCCCATGTGTCGGCAAGCGTGCATTGCCAGCGTCGAGCTTCTCTTTAACGAGCAGCGGGCGTACGACCACCTCGTCTCTCGACGAGGTTCTGATTCCTTGTAGGCTGGACGCCGCCGCGCTGGGCTCGGCCCGAGAAAAATACCATTTTTTCGACGCCCCCGCCATCACCGAAGTCGTGCCGTCCTGTGGGCCCATGGCAGGCGACACGGTCCTCCTCCTCCTCGGTACCGATGGTCACCGCATAGAGCTTGTGGTTGCGAGAATGTGATCAATTAGGCACCAATATCTTCGAGTCGCATCAAATCCACGTCCGGTTTCAATCGGCTGCCAACCGCCACGAATTCTGCGTAAGAGCTCGATCAACAGATTACATGAGTGCAACATGTCCACAGATTGTTCGCGGCCACGTGACTACAACACTCAGTAACGGCACGCAAGCCAAGCACCCAATGATCCAGTGTGTCTCGCCGACCATCGAGGTGTACGACCCGAGCCAGATGGCACCGACGCCGACAGCCCCTGTGAAAGCGCAGCGTTACGTCACTATGCTGGCGCAGGCGGGCCCCCGAGCCGGGCTCCGTCGGACTCGAGACGTTGAAACCCGTCGTCGGTCGATGGCGCCGACCCAAGCAAACAACCGACTTGTCGTGAACCGAGCCAGCTTGAGCAACGCCGAGCTCGGGTGTCCGTATCTGGACGTGATGGTTGATTTTAGCCTCAACGGGGGCGAACAGTACCTTCCACGGGGCGTCCCATATCGGTTTTATACGCCTTTGGACTTGCGGAACCTCGTGTACGGCCCTCACCACGTACCAGCCGCAATGCTCGACGAGCTTGTGGGACTGGACGCCGCGCCGCGCTCCCGGCGCCTCGTCGTTCGTGGATTTGAAGCCGCGACGCTGGTCGAGAGCAAGTGTATCGGTGTCCGTTTCGAAAGCAACGCGACCCACGACACGTACACGCAGCCTTGCGTCGCATACGCAGGTACATTTATGCATTCCGCCCGAGTGTTTCAGTGCGTGTAGACAAGGGCGAGGTGAGCTGCGTGATCCCAGAATTTGCCACGCCCGGGACCTACCGCCTGCTCTTTTCCCTCAACTCGCAGCAATTCACCTATCTCGGAGACATTCGTGTCCATGCAGCGATGAAGATCTTGACCAACACACCACTTCAGAGCCCTCTCAACGGGGGCAACGTTGTGCACCTCGAGACTGAGATTCCGACAAGCATCGGAGATCTCTCCATCATGCCTTCAAGCCATCGACGTATCGTGCGTCATAGCATTCAAGCGTTCGAGGCGCCCGAAGTGCGGCTCCATCGCGAAGGCTCCAACTGGCGCGAGAAGGTGTCGCACCGCGTTCGGGTCTCGATTGTGGCGCCAGTGGGCACGCGCAAGGTTAGCGCCCGGGCGCCGGTAGTGACGGTGCGCTCGCGCGTCGCGCAGTGGATCATGCACGAGGTGCACTTGATTGCCTGTAACTGGTGACGAGTGAGGCTTCTAGGCGTCCGTGGACATGGCCGTTGGCATGGTCGACATTGATGCCACGGTATCCTTTCCATATATATATATAGTGGCGCTGAAAGAGTGTGTCATTAGTCGTGGCCGTCAGAAGGTGTCATTGTGACAGTGCATTTAAAGGCGAGCTACAACACATACCGCGTCATCGTCACGGAGGCGTCCGTGCCGACGATGGCTACTTTGACCAAGCTCCCATCCGTGCTGGACACGCTTTACGTTGTGACGCCGTCCGACGCCCCAACAGCCCACGGCGATGTCAACAACGTACATCTGGTGCGGCACGACGCGCTAGACGCAGCCCCAGTGGCGCTACCGCTTGTTACCAGCGACTGCGACAAAGTCGCGCAATGGCGCATCGAAGAAGGCTTTTTCTGGCTCATTGCGAGAGCTCCGGAAGTGCTTGTTCTGGCCCCGAACCAGACGCTTCTTCACTGCCAACAACCAATAGCACCTACCGCCGCGCCAGGTGCTCTCTGGGTCGTTGGCGCCCTCATTTCGCGACCATCGGAGCCGCTGTTGATCATATACGTCAATCGACGCGTCCTGTCGCTCGTCGCCACGTTGCCTGAGCTCGCGTCCCAGCCGCTCCACCCGCTCCACGACCTGTACCACGAAGCCGACGCTGCCCTAAACCTGCCATCGACGTGGGCGCTTTGGAGCAACTCGGAGCCAGAGTCAATGCTGCCACTGCAGCTCAGCGTCTGCTTCAAGCTCGCGGGCACAAGTGCAGCCGCAACAACGCCAGTGCTGGCTGTCGAGCTCCTGCAAGACGCCCCTTCCTCACCGGGTATTGCCAAATACAAGGTGACCTGCGCTCAGCCGCCGCTGTCATCCAAGGGCAAGGTACTCATATGGCTGGGTGCACACGGCATCTGCTTCTCGCCCCCGACGTCGATGCTCGTGTACGACGCAAGTGCGTGGTCCATCGCGGCTTTGGAGCCGCCGTGTGGGCTCTTGGGATCCTGTACGCCTATCAAGCTCCGGGGCACCGGTTTTCTCGAGACGGGCGCGATCTCCGTCCAGTTCAGCACACCGACGCACACCGTTCACGTGCCCGGCGAAGTGTGGAAGCGGTACTTTTGCAATGTCACCATCACGGGGCTCACAGTGACCGGTCGACTCACCGGCGTCGACACGAACGGCTGGTACTACCTCGCTGTAAAGTGCAACGACGGACTTCCGCGCCAGACGCCGGCCAAGCGCATGCTCTACCAGGTGCGCAAGGAGGTCGGCACCCTTCTTTGGTGCGAAAAGATGCAATTCGAGCTCGTCTCGGGCGCGCGCACGCCGCAATTGGAGCTCGTGCTGCGCATGACGGCCGACGACACCCGCGGCTCATCCCGATTACGTACGCTGAATTTCCATGGCCTCTAGCGACTCTTAACACATGTGATAGCGCGCGACGTGGCGACGTTCGTCGTGTCACCGATGGTACTGAAGCCCGGCGTGAGCCAGTCGGCGTCCGTGAGTCTCCAGAGCGTCGACGGATCGACGGCCATCAAGCGTAGCGTGGATTTGAGTTTGATGCTCGAGCCGCCTATACTGGAGAGCAGTATGATTGTCACGCAGGCACCGAACATCGAGACCATGTCTGTGCTGGATGTGCAAGTGTCGTCGGGGCAGTGTCCGTACACCCCGCTGGGCGCGCCGTCCTTTCAAGTGTACGAGCTACCGCGCATCGATGGCTTGAGCCCGCGGTACCTCCCGTACTCGACCGGCGGCGAGATCGTCGTACACGGCCGCGGCTTCTTCAACTCGGGCATGCTGCTGCTTCGAGTGTTCTTTTTGTCGCCCAGATACGACTACCAACATGACCAAGGTAGCTACAATTCTCCAAGGCCTCCTCGAATGCCGTGCTAGGCGCTGCGCTGCAAGCCAAGCTCGACACCATGGATGTATGCACGTGTTTTGATCCACGTTGCAGGCTCATAGATGTCGATAGCGGCCGTCCCTCGAGTCCCAGATCCTGCCGTGCACGTTCAAATCGGCGACGGAAATACTCTGCACGGTCCCACCGCGCCTCAAGAGCCGCAACATCCTCTTTTGTGTCTCGTTCGACCACCACACGTTCACCGAGACAGTGCCGCAAGCAATCTTGTACATGTTTGATCTGCGCGCGGTGCAGCCGTCCGTGGGCCCCACGCAAGGTAAGTCTGATACTGCACGACAAAATCTTCCATGGGGCTAGGACGCACCTACTTGGCCCTCGAAGGCGCCAACTTGAATTTGTGCCGGCTCGCCGGAAAGGAGCCGGTCGTGCGCTTCTCTTGGTTTCGAGGCGAAAAGCTCTTGGAGCGCGCTGTCTATTCGGCCCAACTCACGAGCGGCAAGATCTACTGCTACACGCCGGCTTGCAAAATCAGCTTGGAACAGCTCCGACTCGAGGTTGGAATCGCCACAGGTTTGATTTTCGCACCAGCATTTGCGTAGCTCGAGGTCGCTGTCGGTGGCGTCGACGCTACGTTCTCAAGCGATGCCGTTGCGTTCACCTACTATCGCGCGCCCTTGGTCAAGAGCATGGCGCCCAAGCTCAACCTCGTGCCCGGCTGCACCGATGTACACTGGATGCATTCGAGCCTTTTTCATTTGCGCTTAGGTGTACATTCAAATTGTCGAAAACTGGGAAAATAGCCCGTTCTTAAACAGCAGTTTGACGACGTGCCGGTTCCGCATCCAAGGTACTACCACCTGTCTCTAGAACGACAAGGCTATGTATGTCTTCGAATAGGACAAGCTCAGACAGCAGTGACGTCGCACAATGCAACGGGCGTCATCCAGTGCCGCCTCCCGCGCTTCACGGTTAGCTTCAAGATACGACACGGCTTGACGGTTTTCGGTTAGGTGCCGATCGCGGTGCCGCAGCTGCTGCAAGATGCATCGTTTGACCCTCGTCACGAACACAAGGTTTGGGTGCGGAACAGCGGACTCTTTGTGACGCTGCTACGCGCGCGGAATCTGCGCCTGCCCAATACGACGACGACCACGACAACGAGCCCACTGCTCCGGCCGTTTGTTCTGTTTGAGTTTGAGAGCCAGAAACTGCGGTCGACACTGCGCGAATTTACGTCCAACCCGACGTTTTACGAGCAATTTGACTTTGAGCTTCAGACGACGGACGATCATTGCCATGGCGACCTTGTATCGTCTCGTGCGGAAATATAGTTGGACTCACGCCGCGTAGGTGTTGACGGTGCAGAACGACGTCGAGTCGGGGCGGCACGAGACGCTGGGCATACTGCGCCTCCCGTTTGCGAGTCTCAAGAAGGCCATTAAGCTCCGCGCGTGGTTTCCGTTGCAGCTGGCGGCGCCGCCACCCCGCCCGATGACGCCGATTCTGGCCCAAAATTCGATTCGAGAATACTTGCGCGAGCCGCCAAAGGAGCTGCCCCACCGCGGCGAGGTCGAGCTCTTCATTCACTTTCAGCCCATGCTGCTGAAGCGCCCGTCGTTGCGGTCGCCGGCGACGTCGCGTCTCACGTCGGCGCTCAAGAAGACGATGCACGTCGAGACAGCCTTCCGGTATACTAGTACGACGGCAAGCCCATTCTCTAAATCTTCGACGATAGGTCGCGCAAGATTTCGGCAGGAACAGTCGCCGCGGATGCCAAGACACCGAAACCGTACTCCACAACTGGACCTTGTGGATTGAGCCTACCTACTGACCAAAGTAGCGAAGCAGACGAAGGGAAGAAGGTGGCGCTGCAGCGGCTTCTTGGGCGCCCAGCGTCGGCCCATGTGACACCCACCGAGATGATTGTCGAGCTGGCGCTCAACGGCCAGGATTTTATGTCGGTGTGTGCGACTCGGTACGTTCTTCTTACGAAAACCGATGCAGGAAGCGGTGCCTAGGTATACGATCCAGCCGCTGCCCATCATTGCAGACATTTTGCCCAAGTGCTTGCCCTCCTGTGGCGGCTCGAAGCTCATGCTTCACGGCTTTAACTTTGTCGACACCAAGTGCATTCGACTGGCCTTTCTCTGGGTACCTCGGTTTCCCACGATCTGTATGTGCCATCGGCGTAGGGCATTGAACACTACGCCGAACTTCGCCAGTCATTCCGTCACGAAGCCGGTGTCGCCGTCTCGGTAGCTGTCACTGCGCCTTCTACGTGTTCCAGACGATGCTAGGTCCCGGTGACGGTGGTCACCGCAACGTTCGAGTCGGCCAACGTCCTCTCGTGCGTGACACCGCCCACAAAGCGCGGCGGGAAGGCGTCGTTCACCGTCATCGTCGCACTCAACGGTGTCGATTTCAACAGCGTGTTTCTCGCGCCGCCGCTGCACTCGGTCGAGCCAGAGAACGACCTCTCGCACCAAAGCACCATGGCGCTCTGGTCTGAGCTTCTCGATACGACGAGTGTTATTGAAGCGAGTCTGCCCCACCACCAGTGGCTTATCTACGAGACGCCGACAGTGCACCGGATCGAGTCGGCGTCACCGTTGTACACAACCAAGCTGCTCATCCACGGCGAACACTTCGTGCCGACCGACAACGGCCGCGGTGTGTGGACGTCGCCACGACTTGAAACTGATTTCGGTCTAGCCAAATTCATCCACGAACCCGCGCAGGAAGGTGAGGCAAAGCACCCGGATGCGATCGTCAACCTCCGCGTGCTCTCGACAACGCTGCTCGAATGCCTCACCCCCGACTTCCCCCCCGGTACATGGGCATGGGTTCAGAATGCGATGCCATTTTTGAGTGGTTAGGGTCCATGGTGCGCGTGTGCATTGCCATGAACGGATTGGACTTTATTCCGATGCCGGACGTGCGGCTGTGTGTGTGCAACGCGCCCAAGTTGGGAACACTCGTGCCGGCGTGGGCCTACTCGATGGGCGACCATCCGCTCTACATTCACGGCAGCAACTTTTCAGAGACCAATCACATTCGCGTACTGTCGTTTAAAGGCTCTCGCAACGCACTATGTGGAGTCTAGGTGTCGTTCACGCTCGAAGACCCGTCATTATCTGTCACCGTTTCGGCCGAGTGCAGTGCCGACGGTGTCATCAAGTGCCTCGTGCCGCCGCTGCACCACCTTGTGCCGAATGAAGATGTCTCGCTCGTCGGCGCCACCGCTCTCGTTGACGTGAGTCTCGGCCGAAATAGCGTCCTCGAAGTACGTTCATCGATCTCCGAGTGGCACCGCAGTGTGATTGACGTGATCACTTCTAGTTTACCAACCAGCCACTTCTTCTCAACCTCTTCCGGGATCAGCCGCTGCTCGACGACGTCTCGCCGACCGATGGCCCCATGTGGGGCGGTGTGCACATGAAGCTACGTGGCCGCTTCCTCGTCGACACACCAAGCCTTCGCGTTCGGTTCACGCGGCTGCTTTTTGACGAGGCATCCAACAATTGGACGGTCAACTTTGAAGCCGCCTATACGACCATGGTACCGGCCACGTACGTAAACGAGTACGAGTTGCTCGTGGTGACACCGTCTCTGAAAGACGAAGGGTACCTCCTGAATTCCTCGCATATTTTGTTATTTCAATCTCAATCTAGACCCGTGGCCGTGCAGCTCACGTTGAATGGCATCGACTTTAGCCCTGTCCACGACCAGACTTGGTATGCCAAACGTTGTTTGCTAGTCTCTGGTGTATACGAAAGTGTGGAAGGTTTGTCTTTTGGCGCAATTGGAAAACGCGCGTGCAGATCATTCGGCAGAGCATGCGCCACGACGGCGGTGCGCACGCTGCGTGGCAGCGCTATATGGAGTGGAAGCGCCGGCCAAAACTCAACGTGTACAGCACCAACAACGCTGTCTCGAGTCTCAAGATCAAAGCGGCTCACAGCCCCCGTCCCCCCACCTACTCAAGACGGTATTCACTACTTCTTGGCTCTATAATCACCTGGCGTCAACTAGGCTCGAGAACCTACCTGATATCATTCGCAAAGTCGAGACTCTTCAAACGCCCAGCGACGGCGGCAGCGCGGACGACATGTACATCCCGCCCAACATTATCTGGCCCCACCCCGATGTGGACTCGTGTCAAAAGTACAATCGCAGTCTATCGTGGACGTCGAATGCTTGACGATTCTCGTAGACCCCGACGCCTCCTGGAGATGCTCAAAGGACTTTATCGAAGCCATGCAACGCAAGCTGATATCTACAGCCGGCTAATCTTTGTGTTTGACAACGCGGCGCATCTCAACGCCAAGTACACGGACTCGGTGATGACGGTGCCGATGGCGCCAACGGCGGGCGCGCGTCAGTTTCCGCCCATCCGGCGGCGCGCCCGTGCGGGTCTCGATATCGCCCATTTGCGCTCGGCACTGTGCTACAACGGTCTTTGCGAAGGCCTTCGGTGGATCTTTCCGCAAGTCCACGAGTCGGAACTCGTCGAGCTATGGGTGTACCTCGGTAAACACCACGAAATCCTGTCATAAACACAATGAATTCCCCGTGACTAGATCCCGAAAAGATCGGAAAAGTCACGCTGGATGCCATGTGCAGTCGCTTGCAAACTGATCCGCGGCCACCGAGCCCCGAGCCAGGACCGATGCACTATGACCCGCACCCGATTCAGTCCAACGTACCGGTTCCCGAGATGCGCGAAGCCGCACCCGAGACATCGTCCATCACCCCCCGTAGGCGCGCTCTTATCATATTTGCTACAATATGTGCTTGCGTAGAGCCGTTTTTGGATGTGGGGCCGATTCTCGATTGCCTCCTGCCGACGTCCCCTCGGCCGTCGTTTGCGACAACGGAGGTTGTCGTGTGGTGCGACCCCAAGTACGCGGGGCCAGGATCCGAGATCGCCAAGCCGGATGTCAATTTGATCGCGCAAGCCCAGCACCTCTCGCAGTTTCCTCGGGCGCGCGAGGTCAAGTTTGCGCCGCTCACCGAGGAAGAGGCCGAGCGCGAGCTCGAGCGACAAAAACCAAAGCCCCCGCCCCCAGCTTTGGTATCGCGACACTCAAGATCAAGCGGCCGTCGCCCCTGCACGCCAAGCTCGAGCGTAGCTCGCGGGCGTTCTCACTCCGGAACAGTGCAAGCCGACGTCAACTCGAGACGCTTACAGGTATTTTGCCCGACGTTCGCGCGTCGTCGCGGCACCTGCTGCCCCATGCCCGCCGGCAAACCCGCCTCGCGTCGCTCGGGCGCACAAACGAAAAGAAACACCTCAAGGAAGTCCGGTCCGTGTACCATGGGATTCTCTCCGCCAAAGCACCCCCCGATACGACGGGCGCGCTCTAACGATGTACAACACGACGATAATTACTACTTGTACTAGACACTGGCTGCTTCCACTCAGATCGTAGTTGAATACTGATAGACGTGAAGGGGCAACGCTGGGCGCGTGGGTAGACGGCCATTTTCAACGTTGGTTACCGCGCCTTTGTTGTTATAAATAGTCGGCTTACGTTTCGTCGCAACGCCCGCGGGGAGCCCATTCGCCAAGATGTCCGGCATCCCGAATGTACCGACGCGCATTGTGCCCCGAACCAAAGGCCTGAAGGAGTCGGGGTCGTGCTTTGACACGACCGAAGTCGCCCCCCGCGTATGCCCCCCGTCCCACCCAACCAGACCTGATTTCCCCTCTTGATAGAAGAAAAAGTATGAGGAGACGCCGACGGACCCGGACATGATCCGCGCCTTCTCGCTCTCCAAGCCCATCAAGCGCGAGACGACCGACCAGTTTTTGAAAAAAGGCGCGGGCTACGGCGGCCACGCCGACACGGAGCGCCTCCAAAAGGTACGCTTCTCTTCGGATTGCAGCGCGTGACATCATGGGTAGCGCGATGGCGCCATGACGCCGTCGCCGCGCAAGGAGCGGCACCAGCCCGGCGCCTTCCGCGAGCGGCCCAACCCGCCCGACACGTCGTTCCGAAAGTACATATATCGACCAACACCGTTTGCTCAGCATAACTGGATAGGTTCTACGAGCGCGGCGATTTGCCGATTCAGATCGACCACGGCGGCGTCAAGAACCTCGTCGCATGGAAGGTTGACATTACCAAGGTGGTCATGCGTTGTCCGAGGTAGCATGCTCATTTCTGTGGGTAGCTCGACTTTCACCACTACCTGCCCATCTTTTTCGACGGCCTGCGCGAGATCGAAGAGCCGTATGCGTTCTTGGCCGAGCAAGTATGTTGTACCTGTTCCGATGTGCCAATGCATGTACTGTTTATCCAGGGAATCAAGGACATGATGGTGAACGCGAGCTCCAAGGTGCTGCCCGTGATCCCTCAGCTCATCATTCCGATCAAAAGTCCGAATGCAATTGATTTGCTGAAGCTGAGAACGATATCGATAGATGCACTCAACACGCGGAAGGCGTCGATCATCGTCAAGACGCTCCACATCCTGCAGCTCATGGTCACGTGCGACAAGAAGCCCGGCCAAGACGGTTTCGCGGCCGGCGGCCTCATTGGCCAGGCGCTCGTGCCCTACTACCGTCAGATTTTGCCGATTCTCAACATTTTCGTGCGCAAAAATGGTCCTTGGTCAAAAATGGCGAGTCGATTCTCTAACTCTGTTTGTAGACAATCTCGGGGACGGCATCGACTATTCACAGCGAAAGCAGGAGAATCTCGGCGACCTCATTCAACAAACGCTCGAGGTCTTTGAGCTCAACGGCGGCGACGACGCTTTCATCAACATCAAGTACCTCATTCCGACGTACCAAAGTGTCTGCATTGGCTAACCCACTTACATCAAAACTCCATGTCTTCCTCTCGATTACTAAAGAGAACTTTGAGAAAACCACCGTACGAGATGGCTCGTCCAATCAGTTGTCAACACGGGCCGAGGTGGAATAATGCTGACACTCGAGCCGCTATGTCAACAAATTTCGTTTCCCGACCTGACCGGTGTGGTCTTTGTATTTTGCCAACGACCGTACCTGGTTTGCGTCGTCACTCGTAGTATCGCCCGTTGCTTTGCTTCTAAAGCTTGGAGACACCGTGGTTTCTAATTGATGCAGTGAGTGCAATTGTTGAGCTTTTGAGTTGTGTAAATACAGCCGGTTTACCCACACGCGCCATGGATGCATAACCTTGGCCTCGTGAAAAGGCTATCGGGCTCCGTCCTCCATAGCAACGGCGGTGATATCGCTCGAGACACTGCACTACCCTAGCCCTATATGATGCAGGCTAGACGGCCTCTGCATGGGCACGCGGGTCAGACGGTGTCCGTCAACGATATTGGATGCTAGCGACAATACTGTCATACCATTGGAGGTGTTTGGTAGCTCTCCACCATAAACGCTCACCACAAATCAGTTCGTGATTGTCTGCTTGATTGGGAACACCCTAATCCTATTGGTTCAATCCATGTACTCGTTGTTAGCGCTTATACTGCAGTTGGCGGACGCGGTGGTTGTTGTAGTCGGTGATGTACACAGTGCCATTGTCGTCGCAATACACACTTGTCGGCAAGTTGAACTTGGCAGCTGTGCCCACACCGTCCACGTAGCCGGATGCTTTGGACCCCGCGATGGTCGAGACGACGCCAGTGACCGCATCGATGACGCGAATGCAGTTGTTATAGGTGTCGGCGACAAAGATGTTGCCGTCCGCGTCCGATGCAATTCCGTACGGATTGTTGAAGCGCGCCGTGGCGCTGGGGCCGTCCACGTAGCCGGAAGAGTTCCCGCCGATGGTCGACACCATGCCGTCCAGCGCGACTTTGCGGATGATGCTCTTGAAGGTCTCGGCAATGTACATGACTCCTTGCGGTGTCACTACGACGGCCTTCGGACTGACCAGCGTGGCGCTCACAATCGGGCCGTCAACAGGCGTCGTGGAGCCGAGAACGCCGATGGCGGTGGTCACTGTGCCATTGGTAATCTTGCGAAGAAGACGATTGTTCATATCGGCCACATAGATGTCGTCACCATGGCATACCACCCCGGAAGGCGCCCAGAACGTGGCGCTAGCGATAGGACCATTGTTGGCGCCTTGTACGCCGGTGCCCAGAGTCGACACGACACCGCGCACCAAGTCGATGCTGCGGACGGCGTTGTTGGATGCGTCGGCCACGTACAGGGACGTGCCGTGGCTGTCCAGGGTCAATGCGTAAATGTTGCCAAATCGGGCGTCTCGAAGGTTGCCATCAATGCGTTGTCCAGAGGCAACCGACCCCGCGAGTGTCGACACCGTGTGGTTGACAAGATCGATACGTCGAATTGTGTTCGTTCCGCCGACGTAAAGGACTCCGGCGGCGCCAACGATCGAACGAGGGTTCAGAAACGATGCGGACGTCAACGGGCCATCGACACTGCTGAAAGAGCCATTCCCCGCTAACGTTGAGACGGTGAACTCCCGGCTGCCCACAGACGGCAGTGTCGGAGCCGGTGTCGGCGATGGTGTCGGGGCCGGTGTCGGGGCCGGTGTCGAAGCCGGTGTCGGCGATGGTGTCGGGGCCGGTGTCGAAGCCGGTGTCGGGGCAGGTGTCGGGACAGGTGTCAGCGATGGTGTCGAAGCTGGTGTCGGGGCCGGTGTCGGGGCCGGTGTCGGGGCAGGTGTCGAAGCCGGTGTCGGCGATGGTGTCGGGGCTGGCACGTTTGTCCCATCGGCAGCGGTCGACGTCGTCGTACTGGACGGCGTTCGCAAAGTAACACCAAGCGCAATGGCCACGGCGATCACCACTGCGAGGAGTAGCATGAGACCAATCCACCGGCGTTGGTGCGAAGCGCCCGGCATGCGGGCAAGGGCTCGCCGAGCGGGGTTTGGCCGCTTGGGGTCGTCCCAGTCACTCGTCGCAGCCTCGAGTTGCTGCCGTAGCTGTGTTTTGTTGCTCACAGCACGCGCGTCGTCGAGAAGCGCTTCGCTCTCGACATACATCTGCCAGACGTCGACGTCTTGGAGCCACACCCGGTCGTCCAGCTTGGTGCTTGTTACGATCGGGTCCTGCACTGCGACTTGCAGCGCTTGCAACTGCTCTTGCACGTGGATCAGTTGACGCTTGAACGAATGGTACACCGCGAGGAGCTCGAGCCGCGACGCCACTGGCGAAGCAAACAACTTGTCCCAGTCGTCAAGAGCCGCCATGAACGCCTCGCAGTGCGCCCACGCTGGAGCCGACGTCGACTGGAAGTAGTCTGAGAAGAGCTGCAGGTGACCTGCCACGCTCGACTGGGCCGCAATGAGACCCAGTGAAGGCTGCGCAGCGTCCGGGATTCGGGTCGCAATACTTTGTACAAGGCGCGGGGCAAACGGCTGTAGGATCTCGGCGATCGTTGCAGTGGGATGCAGATGACGTGCCGCAGCTAGTTGGATCGTCATCGGTGAAGCCATATTGTGCCCTGGTGGGTAAGATGTCAAGTGACTCCACAAGCACGCTAGCGGTTTGGATGGAAGCAGAAGCTAGAATCTCTGGAACGGAAGATTGTAACCACGAGGAGACGCGCTCTGGGTACGCGTTGACAATTTGTCGCTGCGATTGACAAGTTTTTAGTCTATATCTACAAGGTAGTCAAATCTACGATAGACGCGTCTCTGGCCAGCAGAAACGCAGCGGCGGAGAAACCTCCGTCATAGCCGTCCTGAAACGGGTAGGCTCGATCGAGGGCCCTCATTTCGACTTGATTTTTCCAAAATCATTCCTCCGGATGTAGGTCCGGAGGCTAAATTCGGCGCGTGAAACCAAACGCACTCTCATCGGGATGGACGACGACGACTCGGGCGTGCCCAAGGGCCTCGATGAGCCGAGCATGGAGCCGACGTCGCTTGAGTCGCTCGAGAAGGACTTTCAGGAGGTGCTCACGGAGCTCGTCGGCGACAAGAGTCTCGAGCGGTTCCGGCTCGAGTACGAGAAGCTCCATCGCGCGCTCAAGAAGAGCTCGCTCCAAGAGAAGAAGCTCATCAAAAAGTGCCGCGAACTCAACGGCGAAATCGTCAACAACGCCGCCAAAGTGCAGACCGCGCTCAAGCTGTCGCAGGAAGACCAGGCGACGATCGCGTCACTTAAGAAGGAAATGGAGAAGGCGTGGAAGATGGTCGATGCGTCCCACGAAAAGGAAATCCGCGCCAAGGAGACCATCACGCAGCTCAAGGACGAAATCACAAACTTGAGCCGCCTTGTCGAGCAAGGGTACGACCGTACTAAGAACGTAGTTGCATGATGCTATCTTACAGGGCCGGTCTGAGCATCGGTCAAGAAAACATGATGAAGGAGCTCGTGAAAACCAAGGACGAGCTCTCGCGCAGCAACGAAGAGCACGAGAACAACGCGCGGAAGGACCACCAGCGCATGCAAGAGCTCCACGCGCGCATTGTGGAGCTCGACGAGACCAAGAAGCAGCACATTACCGAGATCCAGACGCTCAAAGAAAAAATTGTGCTCAAAACGGTAAATATCCTCTTGGAGCGTTGACACTCATTTTCATGACACAGAACGAGCAAGAGCGCGAGAACCGCCGGAAGGAGCGACTCGACAAGGAAATCAAGGACGTCAAGCTCAAGCTCGAAAAGAAGACGGTCGAGAGCACGTCGCTCTCAACGGACATGACGCGCGCCCAGTCGCAGATCCAAGGCCTCGAGAAGCAGCTCAGCGACAGCCAAGGTACCGAATCTCCCTGATCGACCATCGTCGTTTTATGCGCGAACGGCAGCGGCGATGGACAAGTACGTCCGCGACTACGAAGCGCTGTACAACCGCAGCCAAAAGCTCACCGAGCTCTTGAACGAACAGGTGTGGAAGATATTGTCTATCGCAAGCGACAGATAGGACGAATACGGTGGGCTAGAGTGACAAGACGTCGCAGCTGGAACTGCACCGGCGGGAACTCGAAAACGAAGTCAAGGCCAAGGACGACGAGATCACCAAGCTTAAGCTCGAGAAGGGCGCGGCGGAGCGCAAGATTGACAAGGAAAAACGCAACATTCAAAAAGTCGAAGAGAAGCTCGAGGATGAGCGCACGGCCAAAATCGTGCTCCAGACGCAAATCAAGTCGATGCAAAAGGACCTGGACACGGACAAGAAGATCGAGGGTTCGATACCCCTCATCACGCGACTTCTCATGCAACAGAATATTTCTAGATGCGCAAAAGGCCGAGCTTGACGCGCTCGAACGCGAGCGGGGCATCCAGATCAAGAACGTGCAAAAAGCCGAAGAAAAGATTAAAAAAGCAACCGACGAAGTCAAGACCAACGAGCGCGTGGCCAAGAACCTCGAGGCGGAGCTCAACGGGTACAAGAACGAAGCCGCGAAGCAGCGCAAGCTCATCTACCAGCTCGAGAAGGAGCGGGAAAAGTACGGCATCGAGGCCAGCGAGCAGCGCAATCTGTACCTCCAGGCCCAAGAGGACATCAAGCTCAAGGACATGCGCATTTACGAAATGCAGAAAAAGGTCACTGAAGGCGAGTCCAAGCTCAAGCAGCAGCAGCAGCTGTATGAGGCCGTCCGGAGCGACCGGAACCTCTACAGCAAGAACCTCATCGAGTCCCAAGACGAGATTGCGGAAATGAAGCGCAAGTTCAAGATCATCAACCACCAGATCGAGCAGCTCAAGGAGGAAGTGAGCGCCAAAGACCACGCGCTCGTCAAAGAGCATTTCGACCACCAAAAAGTCGAAAAGCAAAAGGAGCAACATAAGAGCGAGCTCGCGCGGCTGCGGTGCGCCTACAGTATCAATGTATCGAGATGCGACATGAGGTGTGTTAGGACCCTGCTCACGACCAACGAAGAGACCATCAACAACCAAGACGCGGAGCTGCGAAAGCTGACGACCATGATCCGCCGCATGGACGACGAGGCCTTGGAGCAGAAGAAGGAGTACGACCAAGTCATCAACGAGCGCGACATCCTCGGGACGCAGCTCATTCGGCGCAACGACGAGCTCGCGCTGCTCTATGAGAAGCTCAAAATCCAGCAGTCCACGCTGAGCAAAGGTGCTAAAACGGTTTGAGTTGGACTTGGACCATCATTGGATATCGATAGGCGAGACGCAGTACCAAGAACGCATCGCCGACATTCGCGTGCTCAAACTCAAAATCACCGACATGAAGCGCGAGCTCCACATCGCAAAGCACCAAGTCGGCCAGCTCGACGATCTCAAGCGCGAGGTTTATTCATATGTTTGTATCAAGTTGATAGTGACGCAATCCACTAGGTGTACCACCTCCAGCGCGAGCTTCTCCAGGAGAAGACCAAGGTCAAGGCGCTCAGCGAAGAGCTCGAGAATCCCATGAACGTCCACCGGTGGCGCAAGCTCGAGGGCAGCGACCCCGCCACGTATGCGTTCGATCGTCTAGCAACACGCAACTATTCGTGCTCTAGATACGAGATGATCCAAAAGATTCAGACTCTGCAGAAGCGGCTCATTCAGAAGACCGAAGAAGTCGTCGAAAAAGATCTCGTTCTTTTAGAGAAGGACAAGTTGTACGTCGAGCTCAAGAACATTTTGGCGCGGCAGCCCGGCCCCGAGGTCGCCGAGCAGCTCAGCGTGTACCAGCAGACGCTTCGGGACAAGGACAAGCAGCTCAAAGCGCTTCTCTCGGAGCAGAACATGTTTCAGTCGAAAGAAAACGAACTCAAATTTGAGATTGAGCGCCTCGCGCGCGAGCTCCACGACGTCAAGCGAAAGTACTACAAGAAGAAGCTCGAAGACAAGCTCACGGACGTGCCGGGGCTCCCGACGCTGCACAAGCACGCGCCAGGTAGTCCACGTGTATCAATGTATCAAGTCGATCATCCAATCAATCCGTGCGTAGCGATGCCCGAGAAAGTCCGGCAGCTGAGCGACCAGCAAAAGCAGCTTGCAATCACGTCGTCCAAGCGCTACATCGGCGGCGGCTTTAGCTTGAACCAATAAGATCGCGTAGCGAGAGAGATGTACACCTTGTCTATTTCTCGGGTGTGGAGTGTTCTACTGGTTGACGTCCCAAATGTCGACGTACAGCGCGATGACGTCACTCAAGTTCATGGGCTGCGGCAACTCGAACGTCCGGCGCATGGACGCCAGGCCTTCGAGGATCAAGCTGCTGTCGACGGGCGGTCGGCGCGGTGGCCTGCATAGCAAGCGTGAGTACGCTTTCCCAGCAGCATGGTCGAGCCTACCGCGGCCGGACCGGCGTCGTCCACTGCGCGCGATTCGCTTGCCAGTTTGCGAGACCGACGTTGTAGAAGGGTCCGTTACGTCCTTGGGGCCACCACGGGTCGCCTACCATGCACGGGCTCAGCGCCAGCACGCTTGATGCAGGGTATGTACCGTCGCTGGTCCCGGCCGCGAGGCGGAACCGGTGCAAGTAAAAGATGAGCCAGTCGAGCACCTCGGCGATCGCGAGCGTTCCAGCGTCTTCGTCCATGATGTGGCTAAAGCAAAATCCGTGTCGCTGGCCGCCCGCCAAGGCCTACACGCGTCTTTAGCACCGTCTCCTGCGCGGTCTTTACCTTGACGCGAAGATGGCTGTCCACGTTGGCGACGGCCACATACTCGCGGATCTGTCGTCTCGAGTCAGAGCATCGTCGATGCATCACGCCTACCTGCTTCATGTCGATGTACTCGTAGCGGTCGCCCGTCACGAGGAGCGTCGGCGTCGACAGCGGCACCGGCGCCAGCGTTGTCGGGCAGAGGACGACGGCCGCGTCGAACGACGCGGGGCTCTCCGAGGCCAGCGCGAGAGCAGCCTCCGAGCCGACGCCGAGGCCAAGCACGCCGACGCGCGTGACCTCGTGAAAGTTCTTGAGCACGTCGCGGGCCGCGCGGAGCCGGGCGAGGACGTCGTCTTGCTTGGCCGCCGCTTCGCGTTGCCACTGGACAAACTGCGGCGTGCGGCTGACTTCGTCGACTGCCGAGAGCGGCGCGTAGGGCGCCTCGGGCACGAGCACTTTGTAGCCCTGCTCCGCGAGCTTGTCGGCAAAGGTCCGGACATGGTGGCTGGCAAAGCCCGGTGCGTCCGCGGCAATGACCACGCCCGTCATGATGCGCCCGACGTGCGCCTCCGGGAAGACGAGGTACCCGCGCTGCGGTCCGTCGGGCGAGCTCCACTCGATCTCGCTGCCGGCGCCGACGACGGGGTGCTGCATCGTCGCCGTCGTCTTCGTTTGTGGTGCACCAGTACCAGGAGGACGGTGCACGTCCCCTACTGCACCACCCCGTATCCAATTGTATCACATACAATTTGTATCACAATAAAATGGTTTTTAAATTAGGGGTACCCCACATCCTGGGGTCGGGTGGCATATCTTTTGCGCAGATGGCGTCTTCTTGGACGTCGGTGCCATGCAGCGACCAGCACGGGCGGCGACGGCGCTGACGAGGCCGCGCTCATCACCACCGAAGCGATGCAGCACCTGGTTGCGATCGTTGCCAGCCAGAGCCCGCCGGCCAGCGTCGTGCTCACAAGCACGTGGTGTATGCATGATGTGCTCTAGGCCTGCGTCGACGCAGCTCTCAAGCATCGTGGAGTGTCGCCCGTGCTACTGACGTCTTGCCGCGGGCGCATGCAGCCAGCAGCTGCCAAGGCGAGATCTGCCACTGGCTGCGCATCTAATCATCTACCGCTGGCGTCGCATGTCGCCATCTCGGGTCTCTGGGGCCACGGTGCGTCGTGCACCGGCGACAACACCCTCCATACATTGCATCGGCACCTATGCAAGCATGCACGGCCACTGCATGTGTCCCGACTACAGGATCGGCCACGAGCCGCAGCACGTCGCGGTACCGATTTTGCATGAGCTCGTTTGGTCGGGCGCGATCTTGAACGAGTAAGCCACTAGCAAAGACGCAAGGCGCATCCTGTTACGACCTAACGGTTAGCCCGTGACGATGCGGACGCCGCCAAGGGACGCAATGTTGAAGCTGGCCTCGGCGCTCGGCTGCTTGATGAACATCATGTTCTTGGGAATGTTGTACTCGGTCGCGACCCACTCGATGAGCGCCGGTCCAAAGACGCTCTCGACGGCCACAAAGTCGATCTTGAGCTTGGGGTAGATCTTGTCGAACATGACGATGCTCTCGCCAAAGAGGTCCGGGACGCCTCTCTCGGCGTCGTAAACGTGGACGATCACGAGCCGACTCGTCTGTTCGTTCTGGCGCACGTACAAAATCGCCTTGTTGATGCTCGGGAGGTCCGGTTGCTTGCAGAAGAAGACCGTCGGGCACGCCTCGGTGATGCGCCGCATGGCCTTGACGATCGTGCGGCCGCCGCGCGCGCCGGTGGCCAGAGGCACGCTCTCTTCCTTGCGCGTCGAGGGGCAAATGCGCTGGAGCACGTACATGGCGATGCGGAGGAAGAAGAGCCGCTCGAACATGAGGAAGACGACGAGGAGGACGCAGGAAAAGTACAAGGCAAAGTACGTCAGGATCGTCGGGTCGCCGCAGAGGTTGCCGAAGAAGGCGACGATCACGAGCGAGACGCCGAGGATGCACGTCCACCACGGCGCAATCACGTCGCGCTTGAGGTTCGCGCGCTTGAACTTGAGCAGCATGCAGCCCGAGCCAAAGAGCGTCATGAGGCCCAGGAACGCGTACGTGTAGACGCCCGAGAGCGTCTCGACGTTGCCTTCCAGCAGCAGGACGAGCGAGGTCGCGACGCCAAAGTACCCAAAGAGGATCCAGTGGTTGGTGCGCCGGCAGCTGTTCTCCTGCATGAGGAACGCCGGCAGAATGTGGTCGCTGGCCAGTCGCCGGACCAGACCTACAGCAGTCGATCAGTGGATATATCGCATGGACCGGCAAATCGAACCGTTGATGCCAACGTAGGCGGTGAGGACGGCGCCCGAGAGCACGATGAACGCATCGAGCGACACGATGGTCTGGAGCGTCGGGCCGCCGACGACCAGCGCCATCTGCGAGAGCACCGTGTTCTTGAACATGTTGATGTTGGCCATGGGCATGACACCGAGCGAGAGGAGCGAGAGGAGCGGGTTGAAGATCGCAACGCCCCACCACATGTTCTAGGAACATGCATTGCAGCGCGAGGAAGCGGTGAATGTGGTTACCTTGAGCGTCTTGGGGAAGACGCCGGGCGCTTGCTCCTGGACAAACTGCGACGAGCTCTCAAAGCCCGAGATACCAAGCATCGCCGTCGACGTGCCAAAGAAGAGCGCAGTGAAGACGTCACCTGTGACCCTAGCATGGACATCAGCGACGAGGTTGTCGAGGAGGATGATCGAACCAGGTGCCGGCGACGTTCACGTCCGGGAACGCCGTCTCAAAGAGGTTGCCGTACAGAATCGCAAAGTTGTCGCGGGACATGTAGAGCATGGACATGACGCAGAGCGTGATGAGCGTGATCGTGTGGAGGATGAAGATGCCGAGGGCAAAGATCGCCGACTCGGAGATGCCCATGGACGTGAGCACGGCGAAGAAGAAGAGGAGGCCGATGCTCGAGGGTACGACGGGCAGCGCCGGGAAGGTCGACGAGAGGTACGTGCAAGCCGACGTGCCCGAGACGACGCCGGTCGCAATGTACGAGAGGATCGCGAGCGAGGCCGCGATCGACGCCACGCGCTTGCTCGTCGTGTTGAGCAGCACGTTGTAGCTGCCACCGTTCATCGGAATCGCATTGACCTGCAGCATTCCATGAGCATATCGGCACACGATGAGGCAATTAATGGTCATACCACTTCGCCGTAGATGAAGCGGTAGAGGTACAAGATGCCAGCCACGAGCGCGAGCGAGACGGGCGCGAGCTTCCCGGCCTTGGCCGTCACGAGGCCCGAGACGTAGAGGCAGCTGGACAAGATGTCGTTGCCGCAGATCGCAGTCGCTGGCCATTCCGAGAGCTTGGGGTGCTCGCGCTTCTTGAGCTCGGCGTCGATGGCGCGTAGCTCGTCCGGCTTGACCTCGGTGTTGATGTACTTGCCCCAGCCGGGAAAGTCCCATGGCTTGAGGTTCGCATGCGTCGGGTGGAGGCTGCGCTGAAGGAGGCCGGTCTCTTCGCGGCCGCTGTCGCTTCCGTAGCTGCCTTCCATCTTGCTCGTCGACTTTGGCGGAATGAACATGGCGACTGCGATGGCGTGCGGCCGTAGAGGTTGCGGCGATTCAAAGATCAAGCGTGCGGATACAATGCAGCATTTTTTGTTCCATACAAACATGCTGTGTAGCGTCGTGAAATCGAATTAAAATGCGCGTCAACTTCAACGCGGTTGTCCCAGGTCGCCATCGTTTTTAAATAGCTTGTCGTTTGTATGTAATTCATTGCATCGGATGGCGTACATGTGGGTTCAGGATCCACCTTCAATGTCCGAAATGTATTTTAATGTCTGGAAATGCAATAACTATACAAGTAATGCGCTTACACAAAGATGTGGTATTATATTACGTTGCCATCTGGCAAAGAGTCCTAATTCAAGCCTTGTCTTAGGCCCATGCGGCCACTGTGGATGCAATAAAAATAGCTTTGCTTTTGTATGTATTATAAAGAAGTGACCAACCTGATACGAGGCTGCGCCGAAACATATTATAAAACCGTGTGCGTAATGGCCGCCTAAAAACAATGTAATAGAATTCAAAGATTCTGGATGTCCGCGGGACCACATGGTCCAGCAGTCTCAATTAGGATATGTCCCAGTGGATCACTTTATTGCCGACTTTATCGGCCTCCGGCTCCGCGTCCAGCTTACCCCTTGGTGCTACAAGTCTCATACCTTGACTGATAATAAGGCGCAAAACTCGTGATTCCTGCCATTCGCTTGCAGATATCTATCTTGCTCCAATGCAGAGTATCCATGCATAAGGAGGAGCGGTCGCACCTTCCGGTCCGATGGATGCTCGATTCAGGAGCTTGATGTTTGTATGTGGCGGCCATTGTTCTTTGTTCCACAGGCTTCCGCAAAGCTTCTCCATACAAATGTCTAGTCTAAATGAGTCAGCAAACAACTGACAAGAGGGCAATAAACTGACAGCGTCGTCAGCTTCGGTTACTTTCGCCGCCGTTTCCAACGTGCGATGGCCGACGCGATCTACGGGTCGCCCGGCGCCGACGGCCTGACGTACCGCACCGAGCCGCTGACCGTGCGCATTGAAGGCGAGACCTCGCGCGTCCCGCCATGGGACTTTCCCGGCTGGGGCAGGCAGCTCCTCGACGCGGCCGACCCCGCGGAGCTCAAGGCCATCGACGACCACATGGCGTCCAAGCACGCGCCGCTCGGGCAGTGGCCTGCCACGGCCATCTGCGGCAACGACATCTTGTCGAGCTGTCTCTACACGGCCGGCGTCGCGGCCGCCAAGGCGGGCAAGCTCGCGCCCGTGGCCATGGGCATGGTCGCCGCCGTCCTCTACCTCTATCGCTTCATCTACGGCGAGGTTGTGAACGCGATCCCGCTTAACGGTGGCAGCTACAACGTACTGCTCAACACGACGAGCAAGCGCCTCGCGTCGATTGCGGCCGCGCTCGGCATCCTCTCGTACGTCGCGACAGGTACGTCATAGCCGCACGTTGCATGCCTGCACGCGTCGTATGGTAGGCGTCGTCTCGGGCACGTCGGCCTGCACGTACCTCGCGTCGCAAGTGCCCGGCCTTGCGATCGTGCACTCGAGCATCGCGCTGCTCTTACTCTTTGCCGTCCTCGCCATCGTTGGCATCAGGTGCGATCCGTTCCCGTTCTCCTATTGCATCAACTACGTAGCGAGAGCGCGGTCGTCGCGCTGCTCATCTTTATCGTGCACACGATCACGCTCGTCGTGCTCTGCGTGGCATCGATCGTCTTTGTCATCCGCGACCAAGGCGCGATCTTGAGCAGCAACTACCAGGCGCCGTACCCCGACATCAACATGGCCGGGCAATGGTACCGACGCATTTCGTCACATCCCACCACAGAAATGGCGCTCCTAGGATCGACGGGAGCGTCTGGACGGCGCTCTTCTTTGGCACGTCGACGGCGATGCTCGGCATCTCGGGCTTTGAGACGTCGGCGCAGTTTGTCGAGGAGCAAGCGCCCGGCGTCTTTCCCAAGACCCTCCGCGTACACCTCGACCATCTTTCAACAGCCTTTCACAGCGCCTGGTATAGAACATGTGGTGGGGCGTCGTCATCTTCAACCCGCTCATCTCGTTTCTGGCGCTTGGCGTGCTTCCGCTCGAAGCGATCCAAGCCCAGAAGAACACGGTGCTGGCTGCGATGGGCAAGGCCGTCGGCGGCCACCGCCTCGAGGCGTGGGTCGCACTGGACGCGTTCGTCGTTCTCTCGGGCGCCGTGCTCACGTCCTACGTCGGCATCACGGGTGCGTCCTCCAGCTACTTGCTATTGTATCAACGTATCAAGTGAGCAGGCCTCGTGCGACGCATGGCGTACGATCGGATTCTGCCAGCGTTTCTGCTGCACACGAATCGCTGCCGGGAAACGAACCACAACATCATCCTCTTGTACTTTGCCATTGCGTCGTCGCTCGTCCTCGCCTTGCATGGACAAGTCGACCTCCTCAGCGGCGTCTATACCTTCGCCTTTCTCGGCCTCATGGTCATGTTTGGCATGGGCTGCATGCTGCTCAAGTTCAAGCGCGCCGACTTGCGCCGGAACGTCATTGCGCCGTGGTGGAGCTGCATCGTCGGCGTGCTCCTCATGCTCACGGCGCTCGTCGGCAACCTCCTCGGCGACCCGACCGTGCTCACGTACTTTGCCTTGTACTTCCTCGCTGTCCTTTTCCTCGTCGAGATCATGTTTGAACGCGTCGTCGTCCTCCGCTTCCTCAAGTACTTTGTCGAGTATTGGACCCCGTCGTCGGCGCCAGGTCACAGCGCGGGGCACCGTCTTCTCGACGACGACGCGTCCGTGCTCTCGCCCGACGAGCACACGGGGCCGCTGAGCCCACGTGGCCCGGGGTACGGGCACACGTGTCTCTGCCATGTAACACGATGTATTGCTGGTTAGGACGTCGATTGCCAAGGTGATCCACGCGATCAATTTGCCGCCGATCTTCTTCTTCGCCAAGCAGCCGCACCTCCCGACGCTCAACAAGGCGATTCTGTACGTGCGCAAGAACGAGCAGACAGCGCACTTGTTTATCGTGCACGTGGGCAGTGGCCACCACGGCTTTGGCGACGTCGTGAGCCTCTTTGACCGCATGTACCCCAAGCTCCGCATCGACTTTTTGCGCATCGACGGTGGCAGCTTTGGACCGGCGGTTGTTGAGTGGGTCTCGCGCAAGTACGAGACGCCCAAGAACCTCATGTTCATCAAGCAGCCCAACCACGACTGCGCCCACACGATCGCGTCGCTCGGCGGCGTCCGCGTCATCACGGGCTAAATAGTCCCTCAAGTCTCTGTATCGATGCATAATATAGACGCCCTTGGATACATGTCCTATGTATGTCCCAGCAGTGCTGTTTTTAGAAGCGGCACTCCATTGGTCTTAGATTCGGCATTGCGTCAATAGTACGAGGCATATGCCACATTGATGAGCGCCAAGGTGGCCGACGGCGACGCTGGTGACTGACGTTCACCGAAAAAATGAAATCGCTTGTGCTGAGATGTGTGATAGTACGTGTCTTGGGGAGCAGAGCGCGCTATGCTATTGTGCCATTGGAGGTCTGGAACGCGTGATATACCGTGGCGGGCTCGTCTGTTATCTAACATTGTATTAAAAAGCAGTGCTGCATTTCAGCCAATCCGCATTCAACGTTGGTGTCCTCGCAGCCAAGTCGGCAGCCCCCGCTCGCCCAGTGCTGCCGACACAAGGCAGGCTGGTATCAAGGGTCCATCAACCGTTTATAGACCGTCGGTGCTATGTGTCAAGATCCTCATATACTCGTTTAACCTGAAAATGTCCGCTAGGGAAACGGAGGCCCCGAACGACTAAACGACAACTAAATCCAGCACCAGAAGGACTAAACGACTACAGCGCCATCCCCGAAAAACCTGCCAAGTCAGTACTGCCAGGTTATTTGCATTCTTTACGCATTGAAAACTGCCGTGTGTTTTTAAACCGAGGTATAATATCGTTACGCGTCGACGCCTGTTGGGCAAGATCCCAAGTTGCATCGTCGTTGGCGCATGGAGGAGCGACGGGACAGCCGCAGCGGCGCGCGACGCAAGCCGCCCGAGGCCAAGGCGTCCATGAGTCCCATGGAGATGGACCTTCTCCTCAAGAAGCGCCTATACGAGCCGACGGCCAGCGCCAAGCCCACCGAGGTGCGCTCGGCGCTCGTGCCCAAGGTGCGCAAGACCAAGAAGGCGTCGGCGACGTCTGCGCCACTCCCAAAGTTGCTGCGTCCGCGTCTGGACCCACTGCCCGACGCCCCCGCGCCCATTGCGGTGCAGCCTCCGCCCGTCGCGACGCCAGCGCCAGCTGCGAACCCGCGCGCGTCCTTTACCGCGTCGCTGCACCTCGACGCGCGGTACCTCGAAGAGTTTGAAGCCGGCAACTTTCTGTACCTCCAGCGCAAGCCCGAGAGCGACGAGGTCGTCTACGATCTGCAGGTCGTCGAGCACTACGAGACGAACCCGGCGAGCTACTACACGATGAGCAAGGCCGGCATCACGCACTTTACGCCCGACTCGTCCGACTTTTGCCCGCTCGACAAGTGGGAGCTCGAGTACGCGCGCTTTGTGCGCATGCGCCAGATCCCGTTCTTCCAAAAGTACCGCGTCTGGAAAAACTACAACGTCTGGAAGCAGAACATCCGCGGTTCCAAGATGCGCGACGCCAAGTACGCGCTCGAGAAGCGGCTCTTCCTCCTCAACCCGCAGCTGCAGCCAACGCTCCTCGCCTTGCGCAAGCTCACGCTTCAAGTACCTTTGTTTGCAACCGAATTTTCAAGCCTTTGCCTCCAATTGTGTAGGTGACGCAAACGCTTCTGCTGCGCCTCGTGCCAAAAAAGATCTACACACTCGCGGCGCTCGAGGCCGACCAGCGCGAGGCGGTCGCCGAGCTCTCGACGAGCCTCCGCCTCTTCAGCACGAACGTGCTCAACCTCTGCGTCGCGGCGTGCGACGCGGTCGTCGACCTCTTCCTCGCGCGCAACAAGATCGTCGCCGAGCACAAAATGACCTTCATGGAGCGCGCCGCGTTGCGCAAGGAGTGCCGGAGCCTCACCAACTTTGTGCGCCTCGCCGACCTGCTCGTGATTGACGCGATGCTGCAGCTCAGCATCCACTCGTTCACGCACTTTTTGTCGCAGTGCCAGCAGTCGGCGACGCCGCTGTTTAGCGTCACGGTCGCGATCTCCGAGACCTCGATCGTCGTGACGCCGAGCGCCGAAGCGTGGACGCTCAGCCTCGAGTCCATTTTGAAGCAGTGCTTGACCGTCCTCGACGTCCCGGACCGGCTGCTGGGCCACCCGATGCTGCTCGCGTATACGAACGCGACCGCCGAAGACGAAGGCAAGGCGGCGTGGAGCATCGCCGAGTTGAATTTGGCGAGCCTCCTCAACGACGACGCGGGCTTCTCGGGCGTGAGCGCCGACATCTTTGCGACTTTGGACGAGGCGTTCGAAGCGATCGAGAGTTACCTCGAGGTCTTCACGCCGTACTTTGCGACGTACAATGAAAACATTGCTGCGCAACTGCACCCCGAGCGCTTCCACGACGCCTCGATCGAGATGTTTGGCGACGCGATCACGCTCTTCCAGCAACAGCAAGCCGAGTTCACGCGCATTCCGGCATCGGGCACCGTACGCGCTGCATCGAAAGATTGATACTTATCTAAAAATACGTTTCTAGGTGGGCGTGTTTCGCGTCGAGTCGGACGAGTTCAAGCAGCTGCTCTTGCCGACACCGGGCAAGAGCATCATTGCGATCCGGACGCTGCTGCCCAAGCTCATGAAGAAACAGAGCGTTGCGATCCTCGACGAGCTCGGTCTGCTCTCGCCACTGGCATTTGGCGCGCCGTCCAAGCCCGACGCATTCGTCGAAAAGGTCGTGCACATGCAACATGTGACGACGGTGCTTCCGGACATCAAGCTGCAGTACCGGCGCGTGTACGACATGGCGATCCTCATGGACAACTACGAATGGCGAGTGCCCGACGACATCAAGGAAGATATTATCCTGATGAAGGAGGGCGTCTTGTCGCTCGAAGGCACGCTCGCCAAGTTTGATGCCGAGCTCGAGGGCGAAACCGCGCGTTTTACGCAGCTCATCAACGACATGCTGCCGCCGCTCACGCGCAGCGTCGTAGGACCCCGCATCGATCGTTCAACTGCAATTGTGAACGGCGTTGTAGGAAGCGATTTCCAACAAACTCGCAAATCCCAAGCTCGCGACGATGCAGACGCCAATTGCCGACGCACTGGCGTACCTCCAGGAGCAAGAGGTTCTCGTCAACCAGCTCGCGGCCGAAGCGGCGCGCATCAAGGAGTACCAGCTCCAGCTCAAGCAGATCCCGTCCGAATTTCAGGAGATTTTGGACGTTGTCGACGATGTGACGCTCAAGACACGGTTTGTGGGCATCCAACTATCAAGTTGATACATGTTGGTAGGCTCTGGACGTCGCTGGGTGAGTGGGAGAAGGCGACGGTGACGTACAACGAAACGACGTTTGGCAACATTGACGTCGACGCCATGAGCAGCCAAGTACAGGGCTACCTCAAGCTCGCGTCCCAAGCCATTCGCGCGCTGCCAGCCAACGAAGTCGCTGTGGTAATTTCCGCATAATGTTTGTTTTTCTAGTCTTTGATGGCACCTAGTCTCTCCAAAGCCAAGTCGAGCAGTTCAAGTTGGTGCTGCCTGTCGTCGTGGACCTTCGTGGCTCGTTCCTCCAAGACCGTCACTGGGCTCAAATTCACGACATTCTCGGGTTTACCGTCAAGGTTTGTTGATTTTTAGTAATCCAATCAGTCGGTGACGTCGGTAGGGTGACGCGTCCTTGACGCTCGGGACACTCATGGCGCGGCAAGCCATGTCCCACGGCGAAGAGATCAGCGTCGTGTCGGTCTCGGCGCAGCAGGAAGCTGTGCTCGAAACCATGCTCCAGAAAGTCATTAAAGTCTGGCAGACGCTCGAGCTCGAAGTCAAGCCGTACAAAGAGTCCAAGGACGTGTTTGTGCTGGGTATGGGAACCATTTCCTACCATAGTTGGTGTGCATCCTGTACATAGGCGCCGTCGACGAAGTGCTCGCAGCGCTCGACGACTCGATTGTGACCATCAACACGATCCTGGGCTCGCGCTTCATCGGCGCGATCCGAGACGAGGTCGAGAGCTGGCGCCGAAAGCTCGTGGGCCTCCAAGAAACCCTCGACGAGTGGCTCCTCGTGCAGAAGAACTGGATGTACATTGAAACCATCTTCTCCGCACCCGACATCCAGCGCCAGCTCCCGGACGCGTCCAAGGTGTTTGCCCACGTGGATGCGAGCTGGAAGGCCATTATGAAGCGAACCGCCGACTCCCCAATCGCCATCACGGCCGGCTCCTTCCCCGGCATCAAGGAAACCCTCACCCAGCACAACATGCACCTCGACAAGATCCAAAAGTCCCTCGAAGACTACCTCGAGACGAAGCGCATGGCTTTTCCGCGCTTTTACTTCTTGTCGAATGACGAATTGTTGGAGATTCTCGCGCAGAGTAAGAATCCCCACGCGGTCCAGCCGCACCTGCGCAAGTGCTTTGAGAACCTCGTCAAGCTCGAGTTTGGCGACGGGTCCGTCGACATGGTCGCGATGCTCTCGTCCGAGAACGAGCGCGTGCCGCTTGGAAAGAACCTCAAGGCCAGAGTACGCTCTTTCAATTGTAAAAGACGATATGAAACCAGGGTAGGGCAACGTCGAGGACTGGCTCAAGGCACTCGAAGTGAGCATGAAAGCATCGATCTACAAGCTCATGAAGTACGGTCTCGCCGACTACGACACCCGACTGCGCAAGGAGTGGGTCGTCGACCACCCGGGCCAGGTCGTCGCGACCGTGGCCCAAATGACGTGGGCGCGTGAGACCGAGGCCGTCTTGCGCGCGTCTGGCAGCATGCAAAACTGGCTCACGACTGTCGTCGGCGATCTCAACGACCTCATCATCAAGATCCGCGGCAAGCTCTCGTCGCTCGAGCGCAAGGTAATTGTGGCGCTGGTCACCACCGACGTCCACGCACGCGACATTGGTACATATTTTTGAAGTCGTATCACAACTACACGCATCTTCTAGTCGAATGTCTCATGCTCGAAGGCGTCGTCGATGTCGGCAACTTCATCTGGCAACAGCAGCTGCGCTATTACTGGGACCCGGACGCCGACGACGTGCTCATCAAGCACTCGGACTCGATCATCCAGTACGGCTACGAGTACATGGGCGCGACGTCTCGCCTCGTGATCACACCGCTC